AGAACATCTGCATTGAGCTATTAAGCTGGAAAGCCGATCATAGACTGCAAAAACATGTCTAAATCAATTACCTGTCAAACACAAGAGGACGGTGAGAGAATATACTTACACATACTCACACCATGCTTGATCTGCCAATTATCTGAAGAGTCTGACAGAAATCTTTTTTTTTCTTTCTGAAAAAAAAGGAGGAGGGGGGAGGGGGGTTTGCAGATACCGGAAATCTTTGGAAACTTGTTTCCGCCACAGAATAACAAATTAAAAAGGTGATTGCGACTTTTTATATCATTGTGACTTTTTTCATCTCACATATTTTTCCCCCCTCCGAATTTGACTTTATAACTCGAGAAAAGAAGTCAGAACTCGAATTTGCTAGGGGGAAAGGCAAAATTGTGAGTTTAAATTAAGAATGCGAGAATTTGTTGGAAAAAAATTCCGAATTCTGTTTTTTTTTTTTCAAGCAATGTCGAGTTTATATCTAGCAATTCTTCATAACTCGTAATTGCGAGTTTATATCTCGCAATTTGGAGAAAAAAGTCAGAATTGTGAAATATAAAGTCACAATTATCTTTAAAATTGCTTTACGTGGCGGAAACAAGCTTCCATAGAAATCTCTCAACAGGGTTGATGGATTTAAAAACACACACACACAAAAACAAGCAATAATCACAAGATGCTAATCAAACATTTAGTAAAATTAACATTTCAGGTCAGTTCAGAGTTCATCCTAAAGTACAGGACAGGTCCATCGCGAGACAGTTCTCTGGCTCTGACATTAGGAGGTGCTGCAGTTTACAGCAAAGAGCTTTTGCCAATGTACTCCCCATTGGCAGGGTACCAATCTGAACAACACAGCCTACTAGAACACAACACTGATCACATTACCAATCTCTCTGAGGCTCACCCCGTTTCACAGAAAAGTCTTAAGCCTTAGTCAGACTAAAATGCATAATTGAGCTGTTTTAACTAAAATCAACTTGCACTGACATATCTTAATCAGTCATGTTTTTTTTTTCTAAGGCACGTTTATAAAAGCTACATAACTGTCCTAATTGAACTAAGGCCTAATCCTGGTTTAATCCAAACCCTGTGAAACCAGGCCTCAATGTGTTAAAGTGAACGAGGTAGACCTCCATAAGTAAAGCCGTAAGGCACTTTAATCCAATGTGGCTTTCAGTATATTTATTATAGTGACGTTCCCCCTGGAGCAACCTGGGGTTAAATTCTTTCCTCAAAGGCAGCAATCTACCGATTACAGCAATTTGTTACAATTAAGAAACCATAACATGCTCTCTCATTACCCTTGTCAATTTTGATCAATCTCTTAGCATTCTGCATTCTAATCCACTCATTTCAATGTAAGTGTGCTCACTTTAACGCAACTCTCATACACATGAATGCACATCCATATGAGACAGCTGAACGCACAGCAAGCACAAGCACCCTTACGTCGATGAACACACTTGAGCACACATGTAGTGTACATTTATGCATGACAGCACACACACATCAGCTCAGCTCTATTCTGGTCACCTAAATGCTGCTCATTTGACAATAATGTCTCAGATTAGTTGGCATAAGAACAATATATATATATATATATATATATATATGTCTGTAACTCTATGGTGCCCTTTCTTTTCATTTTGTCACCTTAAACATATCTGAATTTCTCCCTTGACCCTTTTTCTGTTTCTCAGGCATTTACTGTACAAGAGCAATTGGGTCAATATATCCCTGTCACCATGGCAATAAACCACTCCATTCATGCAAGCAGCTTGTCATCTCCATATAGTAATGATCTGACCCTGACAGATTAATGCCTTAAATTCACACTTCCACAGGCCGTTATACGGCCGCATACTTCTAATGTGCTGAGCCAGGGGAAATTTCTCTGCATCTCTCTTATCTCTGCTCACACACATTCCTCGCTTAGTGGCAATATTTCTTCCCCCATTTTCCATGACATGATTTGAATTCAATACATTTTGTTTGTTAAAACACAATTTGTTGTAAGACATGCTGTTTTATAAATCAAAGAATGGGATAGTGGATCTTGCTCAATGAATATTGTAGCCTGTTTTTATATGTGAGAGAGTTTGCTTAAGAAATTCAATGATATAAAACATACAGATACAATATTTGAAGCAATAGCAAATGCTTATATCTGTAACGTATAATTAGTCCAAAGATGACGAAGGGAGTTCTAAATCACAGTTCAGTTTATTAGTTTTTCTGAATTGCTAAAACACTAAACCCCATTCTCTGAACCAAATTCTCAATAGCCTAAACCAATTTGTCGAATAAATCACTAGCACTCAGTCTTTTTGCAAAATTCTAAACACATACTCACTCACTAAAACACACTTTTCACTGTGATGCACTTGTGTTTCAAAACGATAAACACAGGCAGGCAAAAGTTAAACACAACTACAAGTTGCCATCATTTACACCCAACGACTCAAAATTGTTCACACTTATTTCTAATGATGTGACCAAACCAACTGTACATAATACAAGTCAGTTCAGACCCAAAACTGATTCAAAATGTTGCACTTAATGTTGATACCAACATTGGATGGAAACAATATAAGAGGGAAAGAAGGAAGAGTATGTGTATAAGAGGTGGTGAACATGGAGGAAGAGAATGAGGACGAGAAACAGCAAGCTGTGGAGAATGTTGTCAAGGCTGAATCTGGCTTTAGGGTTTTTCCCTTTGCCTGCAGAGATGACATTGTCTGTGATGTGGACAAAGTCCTCCGGCCGGACCAAAATGAAGACATGATGCTGAACCAGAATCAATCTCTCTCACTGAACTTGATTTTGCAGTTGCAACTCGTCTGAGTGTACTGTAACATGCTTTTCATTTAGAGTTTTTATTTTTTATTGTAACCTCTTTGGCTTTTGCAGTTGGGTCACTGTATTTTCACAGTATGCAAGTGCTAATGCAGATCTTCAATACTATAAAATATTCAGTACTATACGTGTAAAACAATTCATTAACCTTACTGTAAGTTGTCATTACTGTACATTTTTCTGCAACTGTTGAGAGAGTTTTTGTGAAAATTTTGAGAGAGAAAAAAATAAACAAGTCAATTATTCCCATGACTATTCCTCACTTGCTGTACAGAGAGAGAGAGAGAGAGAGAGAGAGAGAGAGAGAGAGAGAGAGAGAGAGAGAGAGAGAGAGAGAGAGAGAGAGAGAGAGAGAGAATAAATGCAGAAGGAAACATTAACCATTTAATTTCAACATCTCAATTTAGCCTTCGCAATTAATTTAAATACAAAAATGTATCTGTCTGAAAGTCACTCCCCCTCCTGTCACAACCGAGCTTGGAAGCGAGTGTCGCACTGCACTGAGCCATGCACGAGGAAGCGAGAAACCGTTCTGAGGTCGGTAAGCACAAGCAGATCTCATTCTGTTAGTATCTTGACATCGAATTCTGGTAAACATAAATCCAAAAAAGCAAAATGCTAAAATCTACTTCGTTTTTAGTGATCCAGTTCAATTTAGCAGGCCGTAATCGACACATCGGATTTTCCTGCAAATCTTCCCTAAACTAGCCACACACTCCCATAGCAATGATAGCGTAAATATGTCAGCTCTGTCGGATATTCGGTTGATATTAAGAAGCGGTTAGTAAAATAACATTGTAAAAATCATAAATTAAACACTATAATTTTTGGACGAAGTTTTAATTTCCCTTTCTGAGAGAATGTAACCTTGTTAGCTTGTTTGCTAGCTAGCCAGACAGTGAGATGCAATCCACGATCCTTAGAAATGAAAACACTGGGGGTTTACGCAGTTTTTTACCCTATTGTGTCATGGACATACTTTTGTTGGTCTATAAAAACACAGAGCAAATCATAAGCTTCTCTTAATGTAAAGAAACTGCATCACTGGAAATAAATAGGCAACTTAGTTGACATTAAATACTTTTGGGAAGTTGTGTGACAGGCTATTCTCCACCTATCATAAGCTTCTCTTAATGTAAAGAAACTGCATCACTGGAAATAAATTTCAAACAGCATGTTTGAAATTCCATTTCAAACAGCATGTGGCTAATTGTTTTTTATTATTGTACATGCAGCTTTTGTAAGCAGTATTTATTGAGAGACTATGATATAATGTGCCATTTTAATTTATGTTAAAAAACATTTATCACACTGCAGGACCATTAAAATGAGCCAGTGAAGGCAAAAAAAAAAGTGTTTTAAAAAGGTGACAAAATTATAAGAAGGGTTGACCAGTTGCAGGACCTAACTTTACATTTTCATATAAATTGTAACCCTAAATCGAATCACCTACTAAAATATCAATTTTATAGAGAACTGTAATAAGACATTATTCTAGATATAACATGGCAAAACAACATAGGCTAATTATTCAGTGAATCTCAAAAAGTAATTTTGATGGAGCATATCAGAGAGATAATATGTTGTTTGACCCATTGCCTGCGGGTTTTGCATTGACACGTGCACTTTATAAATAAATAAATCTGAGCATGCATGCATGCAGAAAAGCAATTATTGTGAGACAATATTTGTGAGACAATAGTCTCAGTGTCATATTTCAGCATATAAAGCTTAGGATTGTTAGTAGGAACTCCCTAGAAACATTTCAGCAGATATTAGTATTACAATTAAAGGGATATTTACCCCAAAAATTTAAATTCGTCATTTTACTGCTGTCATTTCAACCCTGTATTTTGTTCTGTGGAACGTAAAATACTTTTTGAGAAATGTTAACCAAAACATTTTACCATTGACTTCCAGCATTTTTCAAAACATGTTATTTTGTTGTGTGTACCACAGAAGAAAGACAATCATACAGGTTTGGAAAGACATGACGATGAGTAAATGACAGAATTTCCATTTTTGGTTGAACTATCCCTTTAAACTATTCATATTCTGCCATGTTATAGTGCTAATGAAAATCTTGATTGATTGTTTTTGTCTTTTACAGTATTTTTTGTTGAGTGATTGATGTCACCGAACATAGCTTTGAAAGATGAACCGGGGCCGGGGAGGGAGAAAAAGAACAGCACCAGAAAAATCAAATGCCCTTGAAACTTGTGACGAGGAAATATGTGCTGAGGTTCACCAGCTCTTCAACAAGGTTAGAGGTTATGTTCCCCCTGCTGGAGGAGAATGGATGTTGCCTGACCCAAGTGTGGTGCTCTGTGATCCATATGCAAATCACCCACGTTTGCAGGTTCTGAAGAGATCACTAAATGAAGTGAAGAATCAACTCAGCGATAAAGACCTGTCAGTATGGCACCAGCATACTTGTTTCACCAACCGAGCAGGCAGCGTTACAGCCCACCTTCGCTCCACAACCAACGCAGAGCTATGCACGCAGGCTTGGGCCAAGTTCTATGAGATCCTCGGCACTTTTAAACTTCTTCCTGACAATGCGTTGAAGAGTGGCGAGTTGAGCTCCATACACTTGTGTGAAGCCCCTGGTGCCTTCATATCAGCTCTGAATCACTTCCTCAAGACGAGTGGCCTATACTGCGACTGGAACTGGGTTGCGAACACTTTAAATCCATACTACGAAGCCAACGGACGTGACTGCACTATTACAGATGACAGACTCATCGCACACACTCTGCCTTGGTGGTTCTTTGGATCCGACAACACGGGCGACATAATGCTTCAGAAGCATCTGCTGGAACTGCCAAGATTTGTGAGCAATATGCGCAGTGTTCATTTGGTTACAGCAGATGGAAGCTTTGACTGTCAGGGAGACCCAGGAGAGCAGGAGAGATTAGTTGCTCCACTACAATACTGCGAAGCCGTTTGTGCGCTGCTGCTGTTAGGAACCGGAGGCTCGTTTGTTCTGAAGATGTTCACACTATTTGAACACTCATCTGTCTGTCTGCTGTATCTCCTTGCATGCTGCTTCCGTTCCGTGAACGTCTTCAAGCCAGGCACGAGCAAGTCTGGAAATTCAGAACTGTATATAGTGTGCTTGGACTATCATGCCAAAGAACAAATTCGACCATTCCTCTCAAAGTTAATCCGTAATTACGGGCCAGACTTGTCATCCACAGTGGCGCTCTTTCCCCGTCACTGCATTCCGGACTCATTTCTAAGTCAGCATGAAGAGATATGCACTTTTTTCCATGCATTGCAAGTTAACACAATCCAGGAGAACCTCAGGCTTTTTGTGGACATGAGCGTAGAACAGCGCAGGCAGTTGGAGCAGCTCAGGGAATATGCAGCAGAGTTTTATACAAAACGTTTCAAGGTTCACTATCTTCCTCGGAAAAGCTGGGTTTGTCGTGGTGGTGTGGCCAGATGGGTAAAACACTTTGAGAGGAAGCAAATGGGATCTTTCAATCAGCGCAAGGAGATGGAACTTCAGGGATGGAAGCAGCGCCTTGCTCAAGGAAATTATGGGGAATTAATAGAGAAGCATCTTGCGGGTAAAGAAGGATGTGAGATTGTACTTAGTGGCCCATTGGATGAGTGCGATTTGGGCTCCTGGTTTGCCCTTGAGGGAGCTTCCCTGCCCAAAGTCTGCAGTTCCACCTTCTGTGACCAAGAAATGCTAGACTTCCTGAATGAAGCTCTAGAAGAGAAGCTGAGGGTCAAGACGGTGAATCAATCTGACAGAGTCATGCCAATATGCAACTCCTGCAGGATTGACTCCCCTGTAAGCATCTTATCTGAGATTTGCAGCCATCCGGATGTGACATCTTGTTTGGTGCTGGGAAGCCAGTCATGGTGTGATGGCACACTTGTAGGCATTCAATTCCAGCCAGAGTTTTTGCAAGGACCCTCCTGTTGTGATGGACAGGATTCCACGTTGCACGACGGACAGCCAGACTATCAATTTGAGCTTCTGAACGCTGTGCTTTTTGCTCTGCAGAACCAGCGTCTTGGGTCAACCCTGGTGATTCCCTTGTGTTCGGCCTTAACACGTTTCACCTCCGGCCTAGTTTTCACACTCCACCTGTGCTTTCGTTACATTACATTCCGTTGCTTATCTGGTTGGCCTCCTGCTGCTCTTGTGTGTATGGGTTTCTCTCCACCTTCAGCCCTACCCCGGCTGCTGGACTTTCTCCGGGACGTGATGGAGAACATGAAGAAAGTTCAACTTAAGCTGGGGAGGCAGGTTCTGCAGTTTGTACCTTTAGAGGAGCTTCTCAGAGGGGAATTACCTCGTTTCCTGTCTTCCTTCAATTCAGCTGTCATCCGACAGCAGCTGCATGTGCTCATGCAGGTTGAATAGAGCACATAATTCTTGTCCTTTATGGCTATATCCTCTGGGAGAACTTTTGAGTTAGACTATATTTGACTATAGTCATGCCTGAGTTTACTTCAGTTAAAGCTGCAGCTTCAGTTTGTGCCAGTGCCACGGTGCATATTTAGGATATATTGGTTATAATGGAAAACAGAATACCCTTGTTTTATATATTTATACTGGGGAAAATCTTTCTTTAACCTTTAATATGCTGCATATGCAGTTCAGCGTGTTTATTTTAATATTTATGTTTCATTGCCTATTTCTTTTAAATAGTTGAAATTATATGAGTTGCCTTGATCAAGTTGTATGTCCTGTCTGATTTATTAAAACTTTTTTCTTTAATGGACATATATGGAGTGTTTTCTTTAAAATATCTAGTTGGTAAGGCCCTAAATAGCAACTAACTGTTATCAAAATGTAAGGTTAAATGGGACTGTATGCACATATTGGCTGGTATATACACTCCTGGGGGGAAAAAGAAAAAGGGCCAAGCCCAAAATGGCTTTTAATTATCTTAACCACAAATTATTGGTCAGGAAATTAGCAACATTTAAGCAAATACATTACTTAAAAAGCCATTGCTGTCTTATAAAAACATCAAAACGTTTTTGGCTGAATATGGAAAGTTATGGAGAGATGAATCACAATGAAGTTGAGTTGCATGGTGATGCTCCAGAGCGGTGTCTTCGAAAATCTTCTGAGAAAAATAATAATAAATGCATCTCCACCACAGTGAAGCATATAGGAAGAGACTGATTTGGATGTTCATTTAATGTTTTGGAATACAAGAGAATATTGCAGAATGGCTTGCTTCCCACAAATGAAAAGTTGTTATCTAAAGAGGAATGGTCAGATGTTATTTTTCAGCAAGACCAAATTGCAAAGACAACCAAGAACGAGTCCATCAGGCTCATGTTTTGGTCTGGTCCTAATTTCCTGACCAGTGAGGTGTGATTTTAAATGGTTATTAAAAGACCATTAAAAGAGCATTATTTATAAGACCAAATATTTTTGCCTTGGCCAAATTTGTTTTTGTTTTGCTTTTGCCCAGGAGTGTATGGTTGAGTACATCATATATGTTTGGCACTTGTGTGTAATAAAACTTTATTGGCTCAAATAAGCCAGCAAGAATATATATATTAGAATTTGGGACCATTTGCTTGAGATGAAAATAACCATCTGATACATACAAATAAATAATCAGACAGTGGTGCTTACACATACATACAGTATGTAAGCAGTAGAAATCATTTACCAGCAATGTCATATTGTTACAGTGTTCATTGCTTTATTGGGAACATTTGTAAGAGTATATTGGGGTTAAAAATATTGTTTTCGCTCCTAGTTTCACAGTGTTGATTTTTGTCCTCACATATAAAAAACATAAGTAGGCCTATTGATCTGGCCAGCACAAATTTTTTAATAAATATTGTGACCATTTCAATATTCACCACTCTAAATAAATGACTTTAACTCACAGCATGAACCCTGAATATAACAATAGTCAAGTGTGAGCCAGTGGCTATGTTATCTGAGTTATACATTTTTTATGTTGACAGATGTGGTTCTGGCTGAGTGATCCAACAAAAGACAGTGAACAACGTATGGCCATTTTTCTGTCCAGAAATGTGTTTATGGAAATGTCTACGAATATGTGGAGAAGTGTCTTGTGAAGGTAAATGTTTCTGCACATATCTGACAAGTTCTCTTATCACACCCACACGTTGTCTTCTCATTTCTTGTATGTGAAGAACGTTCTTATCTGTGATTATTATTCAGCATAGATGGATTTCTGCACAGCAAGAGTGAGAGTTCTGTACTTGCATATGCATCTGATCTGCGGCTTTCTGCTAATCTTCCAACACTAACCTCATCCAGTCATTTGATTCAATTTCCATCTAAACTAATAAACACACAAAAGAAATAGTGAAAGACAACAGGTTGAAATGCAAAAGCTTAAAAAAGTCTTCTTTTCTTTCTTTTTAGAATATTAACAAATTCAAAGATTCTTGACAATAAGCGGTTGAGCCACACAACAACTTGTATAACTGCATAATTTACCACTTTCCCAGGCAACCATTTAAAAAAAAAAATCTACAAATTATTCATCTTTAAAATTAGGGTTCCTTTACACGACAACGATATGCTATAAATATAAAACGGAGAAGTTTTCCGCGTACAGACGACACCATTGTCAAAACAATCCCCATTCACACGAATCCGCGAAAACAACTAAAAACGCGGTTCTGTTGCCAGGCAATTAGATGGCGATGAAACACTAGATTGAACACATAATTACGCATGTGCATGACGTCATCGTTTTCTGAGATTCGAGTTTTTGTTGTTTACATGGAGACCGCTTTCAAAATTTTCTCTCATCATGGCCCAACAGATAGATAGTTTCTTCTTCTCCCTCAGCCTGGCCACACACAAAGAAGCCCAAAACTGTCTAAATACAGACAGAAAGAAACAGATCATCCTGACCAGAATTGCAGACTAAATAAAGCTATGTAAGCTTGTTTTGTTAGCCATACTGTTAAAGCCTTGAGCACACTCATTAACATGTATAGGATGCGCCGCATGAGCATTTTGATGTAGTAAGACGTATATTGACAAATACAAACACATACTGTACTAGAGTAAATTTTGCACACTTTGCAGAACTGCAGGCCTTTTGTGGTTTATAAACAATCAGGACTATGGACAGATTCACAGTTGGAGTGGGATTTTCATGGATGTTCCTTCCTCAGCCTCATCAACTATCGGCTTAACTTTTTTTTTTCTATGAACACATTTTCCTAAAAGAATTCAGTATATACTGCTGTGAAGTGCCACGCATTTGCACATGCGCAAACATTATGTCGCTAAGAGCTGCACAGCATATGAGATTATTCACAATAATATCTCTCACTGAAATCTTGACATATGCCACACGTTCATATTGGATATTTAATCCAATGCTCTTAAAGCCTCTTTCTAATGTCACTCTCTTCTAAGAGGAATGAAATGCATTATGAGTTAAACATTAAACTGATCTGAGATTTGTTATAGGGAACCTCCATAACTCTATGGTCTTAGTACTGAGTTATATCTAGGATGCATGCCAAGACGTGATATATTAAAGAAAGTGTTTTATTTTGTGGAGTGTTATAATAATTCATGCAAAATTTCTTATTAGATGTTGGTTATGTTTGCAGAGCTGCTTCTGTTGAATGGTGAGATCTAAGTCAGTCATGTGTACATTTTCTCTTCGATCATTCCTAAACATTATATTTGTTTACACACACACATTTTCCAGACAGTAAATATATTCACCCTCTCTTTGTGTGTGCGCATGATTCTGTTTCTTAGAAAAAAATGGCCAGCTGTAATTTGGAAAGTTTGTCTGTGTGTGTGTGTGCGTGTGCGTGCGTGCGTGCTTCAGCTTCAGCCTGAGCACTCTGAGTGGCACATACACAGAATTTTTGTTTAGTCAGCAGCACACACAACCCTTTCAGAAGAATGACTAAATTGAACATTTGCTTTTTAAGCTTTATTTAAACTGGAAATCTGTTATTTAATAACGATTAAAATCTCTATCTCTCACATTTTCTATCTCTCTTTTCCGTCTCTATCCTGTCAATCAAACATGCATCGCCTATTACACTATTAAAAAGGTTATTCCATGGTTTGTTGCTACACCTTAAGTTCAGAAGAAGAAGCCTTTTGTCTTTATTAAGAACCATTTTTCACTATATATGTTTCTTATTATTTGGCTAATTGGAGATTGTTTCCTTTTAAAAAAAATATATTAGTAATAATAATACATTATTGGTATTATAAGTATCTTCCGTTAACAGGGAAAAGGGACACTCTTAGAAAAAAAGGTTAATGGGTTTTTTATATAGAACCCTAGGGTTCTTGACTCAATTTTAAAGAACCCTTAATGCCGACAAGGTTCTATATAAGAGGAAATGTCTTCAGTGATTGCATAAAAATTTCATGTTTAATGGGTTATTTTAAAAATGTCTAGTGATAATGTGTTTATGAGCTGTGTTTTATTCATAATTTAATTAAAATTAAAAATGAATTAAAATAAAATAAATTAACTAATTCAATAAAATGATGGGAACCCCTAAAAGGTTATATGAAGCTTCTGACAGAACCATTTAGGGTTCTATATAGAACCTTTCAGGTCGTGGAGGTCATCCTGGGGACTTTGAAACACTGATGTTTTCTAAAAAGCATCAGGCTGTAGAAGCTTTTTTGGAACCTATATTAGTTGAAGTGAAGTGACTGGATTCATGTATAGTGACCTCCCTGTGCGTGTCTTATCTTTGCTGAGTGTGAATATTCTGATGGTCAGAAAAGCAGCAGGAGGTGCTTCAATGTTTTTGACATCATGCTCATCACAGACCACATGAATATGGCAGAAGTGGCACGGCTTATTCTTGACTTTGGAGAGGATCAAGGCAAGCACATATGTGTGCTTCATGTGTTCTAGCCAAAATACTGCATAGCCTAAAAAAATGTATTATCCCTTACATCAAACGAACGACATTCTACATATGTGGGTATATTTCGCAGATTGCATCGTATGTCTGATGATAGGGAGATTCCCTTTGCTGCTCTCTAACACTGGACGTGTGCCAATCTGTTGCATCAGATCATGTTTTGTGGTGGCAGAAGTGATCACTGTCACTTAGTTGGATTATGGGAAATCTGGTTGTGCACTGGGTTTTTTTTGGGGGGGGGGGGGGATAAATCTAAAATCTTGAATAAATCTGGTAACCATTTGCATGCAGAAAAATATGATTATTTATGTATACAGTATTTATTTTTGGCTCAATTTACCTGAATCCACCTAACATATTGTGTAGTATGCTAGTTTAAGAATGTTGAACTGTTAAGCTTATTCACTAAAACTATATGCACTGCAGTCAAAAAATGTGGGGTTATTAAGATAAAAAAAAAATACTTTTTTTGCAATGATGCATTATAATAAGAATCTTGAAGAAATTGTGTCACTTTTTCCACAAAAATGTTAAGCAGCACAGCTTTAACATGGATCATAATAATACATTTATTTTCAAGCTTTTTGAGCACTAAATCGGCATATTAGAATGATTTCTGAAGGATTTGTGTGAGTGGAGTAAGACTGGAGTAATGATGCTGAAAATTCAGCAATTTCATCACAGAAATGAATTACATTTTAAGATGTATTCAAATAGGAAACAGTTATTTAAAAAAAAAACTATTGTTTTTTAATTGTTGATTTTTTTACTTTTTTTTTTTTTTTTTTGCAAATAAATGCAGCTTTGATGAGCAAGACTTCTTTCAAAAACATTTTAAAAAATCATACCGACCCCTAACTTCTGAATGATACATAGTGAGAACACTTTAACATCTTTTTCTTTTACATAATCTCTGCCAACCTTCTTACTGCCCCTTTTTAATCTCTTAAATGTTTCTTCTCTCGTTCTCCCTCTCTTGCAGTAAGTGCATAAGTGCAGTTTCAAGGGGCTCGCCAGCATATCCTTCTACATCTGGCTCTCATCATCACCAATCATGTCAGGATTACAACAGACTTTTCAAAGGTAATGAAAAGGTGCTGGAGAACATTCACCAACTCAGCCAGGACCTGCAGAGACATGTAAGCATCCTTCTGTCCAAACTGCTGAGACAAGTGTGTGTTTGATGAATAAATTATACCAATTTAGTTTATGTGCAATTTCTTACAGAGATTGCTTTTTATGGTATATTACTGTCCATGCCTTTACAGTTTCTCTATATGTCCCCTAAACATTTTGTAATCCCATGCTTCCCCAAACTCTCTCTCTCTCTCTCTCTCTCTCTCTCTCTCTCTCTCTCTCTCTCTCTCTCTCTCTCTCTCTCTCTCTCTCTCTCTCTCTCTCTCTCTCTCTCTCTCTCTCTCTCTCTCTCTCTCCCTCTCTCTCTCCCTCTCTCTCTCTCTCTCTCTCTCTCTCTCTTTTTCCCCCTATAAATATCCTGAAATGTTCATTGTTTAAAATGTTGGAAGAGGGGGAAGGCAGGGAATGAAAATTCCACATCCCCTATTCATACACAACACGCTAACATGATTGTAATGCTATCTATCTATCTATCTATCTATCCATCCATCTATCTATCATCTATCTGTCTGTCTATCTATCTATCTATCTATCTATCTATCTATCTATCTGTCTGTCTGTCTATCTATCTATCTATCTATCTATCTGTCTGTCTGTCTGTCGGTCTATCTATCTATCTATCTATCTATCTATCTATCTATCTATCTATCTATCTATCTATCTATCTATCTATCTATCTATCTATCTGACTGTCTGTCTATCTATCTATCTATCTATCTGTCTGTCTGTCTGTCTGTCTGTCTGTCTGTCTGTCTGTCTGTCTATCTATGTAGTTCTGTTAAAGAGTACACTTTATTATGTTGATATACACATAAAATGACTGACTACATTTTATATAAAGCCTTCCATATCTTTCTAAGCGACTCCAGGCAATGTTGGTCACTGTCAGTATACTTTAGGAATCTTTGATGCTATTTTCTGCTCGTGGAAGCGTACGAGCGTACGCGTAAGATTTGCGAACATTTGAATTAATTTCCATAATCCCGCTGTGATGCTCCTAGAGTACAGATATGAATGAATTCGACTGCAGAAGCTGTTTTTTAACGCGCTATAATATGCTGCCGCCTTTTGGTGAGTGTGTGAACTTCACGCTTCAACAGTGGTGGGTGGGGGTTTTAAAACGGCTGTCTCTGTCGGGCTACTTCCAGTGACTCGCATAGGGGTAGAGGAGTGCTTCAAAAACAGGGCATTTGTTTCTTTGAAGAAGAAGAAGAAGAAAAAAAGACAAAGAAAACAAAACCTAAGGGAGAGAAAACTATAGGCTGGATATGGCGAATAAAGCACCAGAGCCCATTTCTCTGCACCTGGCGGAACTCACTGCCACCCAGTTTCTAGACATCTGGAATAAATTTGATGCTGACGGTGAGTGTAACGTCCCGGGACGAAAAGCGTTCTTAATTTAGTCGTACGTCAGAGGCTATTGGGCTACTTATCTACCCTGATTTTAAGTAGGCTATTGCATTTGATTTAAGACTTACAATTAAAATGATAGGCTACATTAAACTTGTATAATTATAGTTGAACTTATTCTGTACATTTTATGTTAAAATACAAAAGCAAATAATAATGATTTAAAAAAAAAAGTAGCCTAATTAATCTAATTGTAGGCTAAATTTCGTCAATATGAGCTATGCTTTGGAAAGAGTCTCTGGGTGTACGCAGTTTTTTTTAGTGATGGAGAAATATATCTGCTATATTCATGTCAAAAAAAAGAAAAAGAAAAGAATCAAACCTTTAAAATATAGGCCTATATTTTTTGTTTCTACTCGTTTATTTTCTGGTTTGTTTGAAACGTAAGCGTATTCAACATGGTTTTTCTTTGTGCTATAGCCTACCGCACACACATGTAGACTACGTTTTTATTTTATTTTTATGTTAGTTTCCTATTAGGCTACACTTATAGGAAAGTAATTCATTGAGTTACACGTTCAAAATGAACAAAAGTAAATGCAAGTATTTGAGCAGTTGCCACGCCCGCTTAATTCAAGCTTATTGAGTCGCTTTTGAATATTAATGGACTGTCGTAGGTTGAGAAATTTTAGGGGGGGTCTCATTTCCAGAATGTAATTGTATGTTTTGCTTGCCCCTCATAAAGTGATGTTTTAGGATCGTTTTGTTCAGAAACAGTCGCTTGTTTTGCGGGATCTGGCAACACTGCTCTAGCGGGACACTAACTCAAGTTGAATCCTCGTGCAATGTGCAATGCAGTTTTACGCACAAGCGTATTCTTGAATAATTCAGGGAAATTGAAAAAGCGCCAGTGGGATGATTGCCTGCTATCGCCCTGTTAACTTCTTCCAGCGTTAGGCACGAGTTTGGCTCTGTAAATTATGCCCCACAGCCACAGGCATTGTTGGCATTATTGATTTCACTCTGGAATGGAATCTTTCCTTCCAATTGATTTGTGTGTCAGCGTTTAAAAGACTTCGAAGATGAAAAGTGATGGGCGGGGGTTGAAAGAGAACCGGTCCAGCTGGGGAGGAAAAAAACAGCCTAAGATGCTTTGCTGCTTTTAGCTAGTTTAAGTTGGCATCCCAGTTTGCTCTTCATTTGGTGGTCAACCTGGCAAAGATGGCACTCAGTTGGATTAGCTGGTCAGCCAGTTGGTTTTCAAGTCTGACCTGCTGAAAAGCACCCAAGACCACTATGAGACCAGCCAACAGATCAGAATGACCAGTATGGGAGGCCAGCTAAGACCAGCAAACCATATTTAACTGGTTTAGGCTTAGCATGAAGTGTCATATATTCATCTTGTTACAGACTTTCACTAGATGTATATCATTCCTACTGAAAAGAACAGCTTAACCAAACAAAGCTATTTTTTTTAAGATTGTCAATCTGCATGTATGACCATCTAAAAAAAAAAATCCAGAACTCGACAAAACCAGCAAACATATCAGCCTTGCCAGGGTGGGAGACTCACTAAGACCAGCAAATGATCTTAAGCTGGTTTTTCAGCAGAGAAGTCAAGAAGTAGTTGAAATCTGCACATTGGAAATAGCTATTCTTTGTCGTTTTCATGTTAAATTGGAATAGATCAATTTAAAAAATGACTAGACTGAGAAACTGCAAACTGTCTGAGATGCAATAATTTTCCCTGTACAAAGCAGACATTGTTTCTAATGAAAATATGGGTAAAATCCCTTTTGTAGCTCATTGAATTTATCTGTCCTTTAGCATTTTAAATCAACAAGACAAGAACTGATTATAAGACCCTCATTTCATTTATAAAGAGGAAATGATTGTCAAGTTACATCAGACAATGTATCTGTGTGTCTTGGATGTTCAGTTTGAACTCATAATTAAATAAATGAACTTAAGTTCATTTTCTTCTAGGCAATGGCTGCATTGAAGGGAAGGAACTGGAACATTTCATCCGTGAGCTCGAGATGGCACGGAAAAGTGTGGTGAGTCACACATTGTGTGTTCATTAATTATGGTAAAAACATCAGATGCAGTTGTGGTGTGGGGATAAGTGGTGATCTGAATGTCACATACAGTTATTAAGAACTGCAGAATGAAATGCTTAGATTAATCTAGCCTAATGCACATGCCATCTGAGCAGATACCATCTGGCTGATATTTTCTAATGTCAATACAGTTTCTGCATGGCATCTTTTAAAGATTTTTTTCAGCGACTGTTCACTTGGAACATTTGGATTTTTTTTGTTGACTTAATTGAAGTAGGAACAGTGCTGTTTTACATGTCAGACATGTTTGTTTTCAGGATCCTTCAAATGCTTCGTTCAAAGACAGGATGAAGGAGTTCATGCTGAAATTCGATGAGAACGGTGATGGGAAGATTGAGATGTCAGAGGTAAATTCCCACCCCTTTTCACCACCAAAGCAATGGTTTGGAGCTCTGCAGAGACACTGTTCTGCAGAACCACCGTCTGAGATTAATGGAAGACCAGGAGGAAATATAAAGAGGACAATGAGGGCAGATTAGGGGTTTGAAGGAGGGCAGAAGGTGGCATCTATCGAGGGGATGATGGAATGATGAAGGGAGGGGCAGTGAGAAGAATGAGTGGAGGGAGAGATGGATGAGGGGGAGGGAGAGGATGGGGGCGCGACGTCTATCATGATGACGGCACGAGCGAATGGATAAAATGATTTATGTTGTAAGAAAAACCACACTAATCCAGTCACAGAAACCACATGAACATATGAGCTCCTTACTTTCGCCAATTAATGCCAGCCTGCTTCAGTTATGAAGCTATTGAGTTTGTTTGGATGGTTGATTTTAAATGGTTTTAGCGTTTACATTTCTTTCCCTTTACCTATTTGTCAGTCCTATATAGCTTAGTGGAGGTAAAATGGTTTTGAAATGATTAGAAGAGCCTCTCCGTGCACCAGATTAAAGCTTAGTTAGTAGGAGATCCTGCAGTTAATGCAGAAGGGATGTGGTTGCATTATATTCAAATGATCTGCATCATGCAAATCTCACTGTATTAGAAATTGTAAATGACATTGAACAAAATCCATACGTGGTATGTTTGGATGTTCACTGTTTTTCACTCACACTTCAGACAGTTTTTCTGTTTTCAATCTGTGCACGATCTCAAACATGCCACTTTATCTTGAAAGCTGGCAGGATTTCCGCTGCTCATTCAGACCCTTTTCAAGGCTTGTATGAGTCAATAATTGGTTCTTCTGTGTGTTGCGTGTGAATCTAAGATAGAAGCTCAGATTAGCCATGTCGGGATCATCGTATCTGTCATCTTCTGCTTTCCTGCTTTTTGGGGTTTTCCTGCTTGACTTTGGTAGCCTGGGAAAACCCAGACAACTTCCGGCAAATTTAGATTTGCTCTGAAAGTTAGTCTGGCAAAGAGCTCATTCAAGCCCATTTCCAATCCGTCGAAATCGAGGCACCAATCAGAAACATTGGGGGGGCTTTACACGATGACGACACCGCTGGGATTTTGAAGCAGATTTTGTAGCCTACATTACAAAGATGGATCCCGCCGTCGAACATCACTCGTTCGAATCAGCTATCGCGTCTGTTTTAAGCGATTTGAACGTTTCCTTTTTGTTAAAAACCGAGCAAAGAACAACTTTCTCCGCCGCTCTGCATACGTCATCTCCTTCATCGCTCTGATTGGTTTTAGGTCTATCCGCGATGTCCGTTGGTGACGCCCCTCTGGAAATGATTTGTCTATGACGCTTTGACAGACCATAACTCAGTTACAACTGAGAATGGTCTGGTTTTAACCAGGCTATGACTTTGGTAGTGAGGTATCTGCATTTTGAAGTTGTCTTTTGATGTTAGTTGCACTTTTTTTCATTCTTGCTTAATAAGCAAACATCTCTATTCTGTTGATTTCTGTTCCTCTGCGAAAAGATACTAACATCAAATTATTATTGTTCATCCCAGCAAGAATGAAAAAAGTGCAACTAATTTCAAATAAAGGCTGTTTTGAACGTGCTATTCATCAAATAATTCTAAAAAGAAAGCAGCACAACTGTTTACAACATTGATAATAATAAGAAATGTTTCTTGAGCACCAAATCAAAATATTAGAATGACACTGAAAACTGGAATAATGGCTGCTTTGATTCATCACACACACACACACACACACACACACATATATATACAGTATATATATATATATGATCTACATATAGAATAACCATTATGATGATCATAAAACTATTTTTGTCCTCTATCTAGTAATACTATCCACATCCTTTAATCGAACAAATCATTGCTTGGATTGTAAGGCTTAAATAGTACTTTTTCGCTTTTTATAGACAAAAGGTGTTCTTCCAGGCCCAGGTTTGTGTGTCAGTGCATTCAGAGGTGGAACTTGTCATAGACTGATGGTTTCAGAGCTTTACTAACTTCTCGGTTTGGTATGGTTTAGTGTCCCTTCAGCAGTTCAGCATTGATGAGCTCCTCTGTTGAGGCCGGAATAGATAACCAAGTGCATGAAATGGTCTCTCATCCCTATCCAGCTCTTACAGGCTTTATACACAGGCATCAACTCAGACAGCAGCACTTGGTTGATCGTGTAGCAAAAGGGCTGCTGTGGATAAGAGCTTTGTGCTCCACTGTGCGGCTGTCCATGGTGCTGAAATCCCTTTCAGTGGAATTATAGACTGGAGTCAAAATGGAGTGGTTAAGAAAAGAATGCATAGTTAATTTCAAGTATATTTGATGTTTATATTATAAGTATATTTTATGTACTATAAAATATATAGTAGTGGGCAAAAGTGATGTCTGGATGGGGTATTTGTTTTTAATGACCCTACAGGTTTGATTAAAGCATTAAAAATATGAGAAAAATATTTGATATATATTTTTAAATATTTTAAATATGAGGGAAGAACAAAACAAAGGCAAACCTCAGCAACAGATTTTATTTTACTATACAACAAAAATGCATAGAAAATTTCACAGGAAAAACAACACATTGACTATTATATTATATTAAATGTCTTGTACTTGTACTATATATATTATATATACTTGTACTATATTATATTTCTTGTATTTCTGGTACATTTTCACTATATATATATATATATATATAATTAAATGTTCAGTGACTTTTCAGTATATTTAATGTCAAGTGAGCACTACAAGACTTTTTCTTTTGATAATTAAACTTTTTTTTAAACTTTTTTTTATCAGTGATGATATTATGAGTAACAGTGATTTGATGACAATATGTCTTTCTCTCTTTATCTTTTACAGCTGGCCCAGATCCTGCCAACAGAGGAGAATTTTCTATTGTGCTTCAGACAGTTTGTGGGATCCAGTGCAGAGTTTATGGCAGTATGTAACACACAACAACATACAGTGATTATTTTGTTGCCATATCTTATAGATATCCTGATCTGTTGAGACTTAAAGTGAAATGAATTTCTACTCTACATTAGTTTTTAGATTCATTAGTTTCAAAAATGATTGTTTTATTGTAAACATGAAATATCTTTAAATAGCTGAGGTGCTTTTGTGTACATCTGTGTGAAAGAGAGACAGCTAGAAAAATCTATTTGCAGTAGGTTATCCATTATGAATGGACTGCAATACTTAAAAGAACAGAGTGTGTGTATGTATGAGTAACTGGGTTAATGGAGGTTCATTTGTACAACATGGTGATTTTGTAAATAATACAAAACATGTTCATTCTGTTCATCTGAGTTGTAGAAGAGCAAAGTTTTTTCAAATGTGTGGATACAATGAAGACATTTTACTAACATTACAGAGGAATACACACACGTACAATAATGCATACAATAACACATCCTGGTAAATCAGGGCGGGTGGGTATCCCTCCACATTAGGTTAGCTCACCAGTAATCCCAGTGTAATTCCCAAATACTAAATTCTCTGGTTTAATCAAGATGACAATGACATAATCACATACAAATCTGAACATGTTTGATTGAAACCTTGTCGGTTTCACCTTTGCAGGGCAAAGAATCTGTACATGTGTGGAGGTATCTGTTTTAATGCTATTGTTTCATTTTTTAGGCTTGGAGAAAATATGATAATGACCGTAGCGGATACATTGAATCCAATGAACTGAAGGTATAACTCAATAGGTCACACAGAACTTCCTATAGCTATAATAGATATAGATATAGACTAAATAAAATCATTTCTTTGCCCTAGGGCTTCCTCTCAGATCTGTTGAAGAAAGCAAACAGACATTACGATGACAAGAAACTGAACGAGTATACACAGACCATAGTGAGTAGACACACACAATTCACACATATACACAACACACACACACACAACTGCTCTTTAATTTATGCTTTTTTCCTGCAGCTTAAAATGTTTGACCTGAATGGTGATGGAAAACTGGGATTGTCCGAGATGGCTAGGTGAGGTGCCCTCAGAGTGAGTCGCATATTAATGCAATATTGTTTAAATTATATAATATTGTATGTTATATTTTGTCTTCAGACTGCTTCCTGTGCAAGAGAATTTTCTGCTCAAGTTTCAGGTAAGATCAAGCAGTTAGATTAGATTGGAGAGCACAAATATAGTGTTTTAATTAACCAATAACCTGGTAATGCAAATAAACCGCGTTTACAAGACTTTATTTAAAAAAATATATGGTTATTCCCCGGTAGTGACGCCAACTTAATCATTCTTGTGATGTGATGTTAAATAAATAAGCAGTATTTTGACTGGACCACTTCTACCGTGGCTGCACGAGATGAGAACACATTTTTATAATTACTTGAGTCAAGAAAGATTCAGTTTGCTATTTATTTCCTCGTCCCCTACTGTGAAACGCGCGCTCTGTCTGGATACGCTTAAATCTGCTGTAAGGATGCTTTCCTGTCACATATCACACATACTCAGTTCAGGTTAATGTATTTAGAGACCGGGCGAAATTGGGGTAAGGGGCAAAAATATAGCCGTTTTTCCGATAAGTAATACAGGTTAAGGCTTTTACATGACCACATGCATTGTCATCTTATTAAGCATAATCGGGTTAAGAATGTGCATGTAAACGAGCTCAGTGGAATAGTGCAAATAGTAATGTTGCAAATTGGCAAAAAAGGTACAAATACCAGTACAGTGCAAATGACATTTGTAGCACAAAAGATATGGTGTACAAGGGCAGAATGTGGGTTAGAATTGTAAAATGTGCAGCAGTAGTACTAGCACAGTAAAGTGTGATATACTGGAAGCTAGGAGGGGGAGAAGCAAAAATGAACACACTGGCCATTGCTAGCAGTTACGGTAGAATGGCAGTAGCATATAGTCAGGGCTGAAAAAGATTAAATTTGCAATATGGCAAGAGTTTCTTTTTTTAGATCAATGCTGAAATCATGTAGAAAACATGCATTATTACAGGCAAATGTGTATTTGGGTACATATGTTTGTTGGTGTTTGTGTGTGTGTTCCTACTGTATGTGTGTTTATAGGTTTTGTCTGTGTGTGAACCTGACAGCAGATTGCTAACTGATTTCTGGCACAGGGATCATGGGTTGATAGGGATTACTTCAATCCTACTGTAGTTATGATAATCTCCATTGATTATTCTTGAACCTGGAGATGTACTGATCTGGCCCAGTCTCCCCACATTTACTGGATTCTCTCTCTCTCTCTCTCTCTCTCTCTCTCTCTCTCTCTCTCTCTCTCTCTCTCTCTCTCTCTCTCTCTCTCTCTCTCTCTCTCTCTCTCTCTCTCTCTCTCTCTCTCTCTCTCTCGCTCGCTCGCTCGCTCGCTCTCTCTCTCTCTCTTTCTCAACAAAACAGCTGAAAATATGTCAAATCTGGAATAACTGGTCCACGTTCAGCCTCATTGCATTATCAGGGTGACAGACATGTCTTCTGTCTTTTCAGTCATGAGAATGATTTTAAATATTCATGAAAGCGTATCATTCTTCAGTTTGACTGTAGATTGTAGTTTTACTCTATACCTCTATATATAGTGAATATATATACACTCACCTAAAGGATTATTAGGAACACCTGTTCAATTTCTCATTAATGCAATTATCTAATCAACCAATCACATGGCAGTTGCTTCAATGCATTTAGGGGTGTGGTCCTGGTCAAGACAACCTGGTCAAGACAATCTCCTGAACTCCAAACTGAATGTCAGAATGGGAAAGAAAAGTGATTAAAGCAATTTTGAGCGTGGCATAGTTGTTGGTGCCAGACGGGCCGGTCTGAGTATTTCACAATCTGCTCAGTTACTGGGATTTTCACGCACAACCATTTCTAGGGTTTACAAAGAATGGTGTGAAAAGGGAAAAACATCCAGTATGCGGCAGTTCTGTGGGTAAAAATGCCTTGTTGATGCTAGAGGTCAGAGGAGAATGGGCCGACTGATTCAAGCTGATAGAAGAGCAACTTTGACTGAAATAACCGCTCGTTACAACCGAGGTATGCAGCAAAGCATTTGTGAAGCCACAACACGCACAACCTTGAGGCGGATGGGCTACAACAGCAGAAGACCCCACCGGGTACCACTCATCTCCACTACAAATAGGAAAAAGAGGCTACCATTTGCAAGAGCTCACCAAAATTGGACAGTTGAAGACTGGAAAAATGTTGCCTTTTCTGTTAAGACATTCAGATGGTAGAGTCCGAATTTGGTGTAAACAGAATGAGAACATGGATCCATCATGCCTTGTTACCACTGTGCAGGCTGGTGGTGGTGGTGGTGTAATGGTGTGGGGGATGTTTTCTTGGCACACTTTAGGCCCCTTAGTGCCAATTGGGCATCGTTTAAATGACACGGCCTACCTGAGCATTGTTTCTGACCATGTCCATCCCTTTATGGCCACCATGTACCCATCCTCTGATGGCTACTTCCAGCAGGATAATGCACCATGTCACAAAGCTCGAATCATTTCAAATTGGTTTCTTGAACATGACAATGAGTTCACTGTACTAAAATGGCCCCCACAGTCACCAAATCTCAACCCAATAGAGCATCTTTGGGATGTGGTTGAACGGAAGCTTCATGCCCTGGATGTGCATCCCACAAATCTCCATCAACTGCAAGATGCTATCCTATCAATATGGGCCAACATTTCTAAAGAATGCTTTCAGCACCTTGTTGAATCAATGCCACGTAGAATTAAGGCAGTTCTGAAGGCGAAAGGGGGTCAAACACAGTATTAGTATGGTGTTCCTAATAATCCTTTAGGTGAGTGTATATACACACATAGTATATGAATGTGATTTCCCCATCACATTAAAAATGTTTACATTTTTAAATCTATTTTTTAAATAGATTACTTTAACAAAAGTCAAGTTGACTTTAATGATTAGTAGTAATGTTAAGACTCATCAGACTGTAATGAACTTTTTTAAGTCAGCCTTTTTTTGTGAATGACACTTCTGTAGTTTTTTAATATGAATATTATATGAAAGCATATTGAAATTAGGTCTGGTGGTAATACATTCTAGTGACATTATATAAAGTTATACATTATATGCCTACATTATATCATTACATACAGATACACAATATGTATAACATTATACAGCTTATACGTGCTATTTTTTGCGTTATTTGTAACTTAGACTCTATGGTGTGTTAATGTTTTTAATGTTATTAATGGGAGTTAGTAAAATGTTAAAATGTATATAAATTATGTATAAAATTTATTTTGTAATATACTGGGAGCACATTCATTCAGTAGGTGAATCAGGAGGCATTGTAAAACTGACACACAGGTGCATAAAATGCTTGCTGTAAGTTGTAAACTGATATACAGTAAACTTTTGTGTGCTATATCTGGCATAATATATGTGATTCCATCACATATATTATATTGGCATGTTTATGAATGGTATGCCTTTTTTTTTTACAGTAGGTGTCGCTGAACTGTTATAATCCAAAGGATTTGGAGGATTATTTTCTAGTTATGAAAATTCAGGCCTTCAAAATCAAATCTAAAGGCGGATTGATATTACACCACAGGATAACTGTCTATTTTACACACACATACATTGAGCATAAACTAATGTCTTTTTTTTCCCTCTTTATTGCCAGAACTTCAAACTATCTGCTGAAGAATTTGAAGTAATCTTCAACTTTTATGACAAGGTCAGATAATGTGTATATTTCTCACGCTTGTGTCCTTGTTAATTTGTTAATTAAGTTAATAATACACACATGACCATATACACAAAAAATAACACTTTAGCACTACTATATCAACCACAAAGCATAATTGACGTATATATTTTCATCTGCTGTATATGTTTTCATCTGGAAGATGTATTTTTTTAGAGCATTTGCTCATCTGCAATACATCTAGAACATGTTCCGTCAGATGTTGAATGGGCTGTTAGAAAATGTCTTTAAGATGTTTTTGTTTTCAAATATAAAACTGTTTTTTTTCCCCTTTTTTCTTTAACAGGATGGAAATGGTTACATTGATGAACATGAACTGGATGCACTGCTGAGAGACCTCTACCAGAAACATAAAATGGTAACTTGGTGTTGGATGGGAATTTAGCACTCTATTACATCTTTTAATTGAAAATGTGCCACAAAAGCTGCATCTAAAGTGCCATATATACCACAAAAAAGGGCATTTACACAATTTAATGCCGCAGAGTGGGAAAAAAATGGTAATCGAAGCTACAATTGCAGAAATAATGGTATGAAATTGATTTTTTAAATGTCAAATTATGAATATCGATACATTAAATGATGGATAGAAATGTACCGTATACACTACTGGTCAAAAGTTTTGGGTTGATAAAAAAAAAAAAAAAAGAATTTAATACTTTTATTCCACAAGGATACATTAAATTAAAGTGACAGTAAAGACATTTATAATGTTACAAAAGATTTCAAATAAATGCTGCTCTTTTGAACTTTCTATTTATCAAAGAATCCTGAAAAAATTATCTCAGTTTCCACAAAAATTTTGAGCAGCACTTTTTTATTGATTATAAATAAGAAATGTTTCTTGAGCAGCAAATCAGCATATTAGAATGATTTCTGAAGGATCATGTGACACTTAAGACTGGAGTAATGAAGCTGAAAATTCACAGGAATAAATTACAAATTTAAAATATATTAATATAGACAACTGATATTTTCAAATTGTAATAATATATACAATATTACAGTTTTACTATATTTTTACAGTATTAATGCAGCCCTAGTGAGCATTAAGAGACTTCTTTCAAAAACATGAAAAAAATCTTGCCACTTTCAAACAGTATTATACATTAAATTATACATTTAAAAATACATATTTAAATATTTAACCCTGCACTGATGCTGCATTTCAGCAACAAATATGACTGGTCTGAATTCTTATAGACGTCTATGTTTGTCCTCTTTTAGGTCATTGACCCTCAAAGTCTGGCTAGCTCAAAGAAGAGCATCATGGCGTTGTCTGACGGAGGGAAGCTTTTCCGCACAGAGCTGGAGATTGTGTTATGCAAGGATCCGTCAGTGTGAACTCTGAGCTCTTAACTCTCACTTCCTCCTCTGTACCTTCACCCACCCCAATCTAGCCAAAGCAGGTGCATGTGGTGTGGCTCTGTTCCACCTCTTATCCTGCAAAGATAATCAGCATCCACAACGTACCCCTCTCTCCGTGGCATGCCTTTCCCAAAGATATGGCTTCTCGATGTGTGCATCTCTTGTTTGTCTGTTTTATGTCAAAACATAATTATTACATTGTGGAATAATAATGGATATTTGGTCTTTGGTCTTATTCTCCTGCTTGTACCAAATCTTTAATTCGGTTTGCCATGTGTGCAGTCTGCTCTCTCTCTCTCCGTTCCTCCATTCCTCCATCATTTGTTCTCTGTCCAATCTCATATCTCCTTTTTTTGTGCAGGCTGTAGACTGTTCTGTTTTGCCAACACTGCTAAAAGAGTACCTGAAATAAAGATCAGATAAGACATTTTACCGTCAATACTGTCCTGCTTTCTTTCCTCTAAACCATCTGTCCTGCTTTTTCTTTACATATAGGACCATATTTTTAGGCTATATTTTGTTAGGTACCATTAAAGCCCCAACATTTTATTATAACTGAAGTTTCTGTTATGAAAGCAGATACTGGTTATAATGGGCACCTATTAACGTAGTTTGGATGTGCCGGCTTCTCGGGCGCACTGTGATCTCATTTTCCATTTAGATAAATCCAAAAGCAGTTAACTTATCTTTGTGGGCCTGCAAGTAAAGGCACACATCCGCATCTTCAAGCCAAAGCGAGCGCAGGAGCACAATGAAGTGTTTAGAGCTTATCTTTTTCATTTTCATGGTACGAATGTTCTTTGTGCTTCATTAATCTCTGATACAGGATAGAATAGGACAAGGATTGTGGTGATGAGACAGTTTTCTTGGCTTCGGTTTCACCCGGAATATCCTCCACAAAATTCTTAAGGTGCCATTTTTATGCGTGTCCTGTTGGGATCACATAGGTCTTCATTTTATTAAGGACTATTTTTGTATTATATTATCACAGTATTTGTGTTCTAATGTTCAGGCAAGGTTCTGTCAGACTCAGAGTTACTTTAACTTCAACTTTATGGAGTTATGAACAAACATTATTTTAGTAACGTTAATAGAACTTTAATTCAAAATTGTCTGGGGCCAGTTGCGTAAAGTCAGTAACATGAAATCGTAGATTGGTCTAATTTGATACCAAACAGTAAGACTGATTACCCCTTACTAACTGCTAGTTGGTCATAGTAGTTCTGAAGACTTTAAGACATTAAGTCTTAACATAATGGCTATGTTTATGCAACTGGCCCATAATGTTCTCAAACGTCAACACAACATTAACATCTGCATCGTTTTTTTTCTAATGTTCATCTAACATGTTTTAAACGTTACAACTTGTTTCAGGATGTTCAGAAATTAATCAAAAGGAACATTCCCATAATGTTCGCAAAATTATAAAATGGAATGTTCCTTTAACTTTCGCATAAACTCCCCAAAAAACGTTTTTAAAACTTTCAGCCATTAAAAAAAAATGACAAAACATTAATGTTATATATTTTTGTTAGCTGGGAATTCACCAATAATTAAATAGATTAAAACGACATGGTGTTTTCATACTGCTAATGTGATAATACTGTTTCGTGTTTTTTGTTTTGTGAAATTTGTGATAGTTCCTCTGCTCTCTGACTAGCCCGTGGTACAGTACCTTGCGCAGTCTAGGGGGGCCATCAATTAAATATCAGCACTCTCATATATGTTTTAACAAGAGAGTTTAAAATAAGATCTCTGTGTGGCACAGCTCTCTCTCTCTCTCTCACACACACACACACACACACACACACACACACACACACAGCGTGTGCACTTTAGACGCCTCTCCTCTAGCACTCTAGAGAGAGAGAGCACTCAGGACTAAAGGAGCTCTACAGAAATCTCCATCAAACAGATTGGAAGGCTCAAGATAGACCTCTAGTGGCTAAAACCAAAACACTATCACTAGCGCTTTGTACACTGGTGTCATGAAGGCATGCTTGTCATGTTCGCCATGGTTTCCATGCTGTTTTTGCACGCTGTATTATGGTCCGAAATTTACTTCTGTAATTATTATCTTAGAAATTGTTATTATTATTTTTAGATGCACGATTTGGAATCATTAAATGGATTGTACTCTAAGAATTATGGCCTGGGTTCTCAATCTTGGCATCACATTTGTGATAACTCTAGACTAGGAATCACAATTTAAAAAAAGGCATTCCGTAAGGCTATGCAAAGTTGTAGACAGACAGCCACAGAGGGCCAAAGAAAACAGCAGTAACCTTTTACAGTTCCTCCTGAACCAAAACAACAAGCTTACATTGCATTCACGCCATGCCACAACCATAATTGCAAGATAGTAACCCATGACGTTCTGTTAATGTCCCCAGACTCCGATTTATGCCTTTCTATGTCAACGCTATCAAAGCCGAAATAAAACTGAAGCAGTCAGGTGGTAAAAGTAAGAGCTCTGTTTACGTTCATTATTATTGTAATGTTATGTGCTTTGAGACATGAGGTAATTAAAACCTGTCTCTCGTGACGCTTTGCCGACTCTGCTCTGGTTGTGCGCGTTCATGTGTTTTGGAGGAGGCGTGGCTTTGGAGACACTCTGAGCAAAAGGATGGGATCTCATGCTTTCAAAGCTAGCTTGCCATTGCTAGTCTCTCCGAAATTGCCAACCCTACCTTTAGCCTAAACAAAAATGAGAAATATTACATTGGCAACAAGCTGAAATAAAATAAGTTATTATTTTATTTCGAGTAATAAATGTTTATATCCCTGCTTGGAAGTCCTATTACATTGTAACATTCTAAAGGGACATTTTGAAGGGCATAAAGGGATTGTTACATTTTGAAATAACAATTTATTTTAAATTGTAATTTTTCACAATATTACCACTTTGACTATTTTTGATCCATTAAATGCAGCCTGGGTGAGAAGAGATTCTATCAAAATCATTGAAAGAAACTTACCGACCACAAATGTTTGAATGGTGGCGTGCATTGCTGTGGCTTCCCTAAAAGGTCACAAAGGGGAATTCACTTCCAGTACATAATTTAAATCACACACTAAAGCCAGGCTTGTGCTTCTCAGGGTTTTGCGTTTGATTTTAACTTTGGCCAGCACCATTTCCTTACCACCAGAACTTTTAAATACTGCAGAGAAAATAAATGGCTAATTAATGAAATTTCATTTAATGAAAAAATGAATCTGATGTCAGTAAACATTCATTACAATTTACTCAATTATATATCTATTATAATTCTGTAGAATAATTTACAGGACTGACTCAAATCCTTAGATAGATGATTTATGACACATGCAATGACAGCTATTTAAAAAAAAAAAAAAACAGCAGTCCTGTCTTCATGTATTCTATAAAGCATTCCCAGAATAGAAATAAAAATATACAGTGAAAATTATATAGAATCATGCTCTAACTAGTCGATTCAATGACCCTACACACTATATCATAATGAAGAGCATGTCAGTTCACTGAGACCAAGTCTTTACACTTTACCATTTGTAAAATTATAATTTACAGCTGCTACACAGAAGGACTGTGGTAAAGCTTATCCACATTTTGAGTGGAAAAGTCAGCTTTACAAAATAATGGAATTAGGTTCTGTGTGAACCAATGGTGCACAATGACATTACATCCAAAGCTCTTTTGCAAGTCTTTTAAAGTTCAAAATGCAATGATTAAGAGGTCACTTTATTGTGGAGGCTCGACAGTCCAAGTTCCCTTCAGCTCAGTCCTGTCCCACATCTTTATCAGTGGTTTTGTTGTGGTTTGGTCGATTGCTCAGAGCAAGCTGCATTGCCCAGATGGTCAGAGGCCTCATATACGCGAGAGAGCGGTAGATGCCTTTCTCACAGTATGCTTCGGGAGTCTGGAAGGCCATTCCCATTCTCTCCCATACAGCACGGTAACAGCCTTCTGCAGTGCGCAGACCCTCATCCACCATGCCCTGGGAGATGCCGAGAGATGTATTAGGAGATACCCGAAAGGTTCACTTAATCTGAAACCTGATGATATGACCTGAGTTTTGACTTACCTCATGTATCATTGTAGCTGCCAATCCGTACACTACTCCCACCCACACCTCATCTGATTGGACACTGGAACGATCAGGCACACCTTCTGGTCTCATCCCATTCACTGCACCCATCTGCCCGCCTGCAAAGCTCATAACATTGAGGTCAAACACTGACTTCAATGCACTACAGATTTTCTCCTTGGGAAAAGCCTGCACAGAGAAATGGATGTAAAAAAAGTATAATTTGCATAACATAAATAAATGTACACATTATTTTAAATCAAAGAAATCAATACTTTTATAAAGCAAGGATGCATTAAACATTCATAATGTTACAAAAGATTTTTGTTCTTTAAAGTTTAGCTGCATCCCAATTCAGAGGCTGCATCATTCGAAGTCTGAATGTGTGTCAGCGGCACGACGAAGGCTGTCCCAATTCGAAGGCTCCTTTGAATGCGGCATACAAATGCGTCCTTCGTATCCTGGACCACATAGGACAGAACGAGTGGATCCTTCGCAGTCTAACTTATCCCAAGATTCATTGCACACCGAATGATTTTTTGCATTAAATTACTTGATTATACTTTAAAATGTAAGAATTGGGTTTAAACTTGCTCGAATATCTGTCGATACAAATGTAAAAATTAAAGGTACAATATGTAAGAATTTTGTAATAAACTATCCCAAAATCACTTGCACAGTGTGATATATTTCCTGCAGTTGTGTATTTACAATATCCCAAAAGTCTGCAAAGATTTTTTATTTCAGAGAAATTCCCATTTTAAATAAGTGGGCGTCCCGAAAAAAATTGTCACCTGTCAATGACGCAATGTCCGCACTATCCTCGGTTTCCGTTCATACTGCCATAGCCATGACGTAACCATGGCGACAGACGTGGACAACTGCGTAGTACGTAACGTTTAGCGGCACGCAGTTCTTGTTTCTTTCAAACATAGACCATGGCAAGCAGACTTTGGGACAAACAAGGAGAACTAAAATGAGGATCAAAATCAGCGTGGCGTTTTTGAGATGCCGAGAGCTCCACGTCTGCGACTAACTTGGACTTGACAGAGCTTCAAGAGTCACGACTTGACAGCTTTATTAGACAGGTGAGCAAATGTACATAAAACAAATCAATGTTATATAACATTAGCTCAACATGATGAAATGTTAGAATATGGTCAGTATGTTATTCTAATGTTGATTTAGCTTACTGCTAGTTTCGTATAGCAAACGAACACGTAGTATAACATTATAACTTTCAACACGCATTTAAATGCCATTTAGTGTGATAGTGTAAAGTTAGACCAAGTGGAGCAGCGCTGCGTTACCTCACAAGTTTAATTCGTCTAATAAACTGACCTGTGTGAGTAATCCAGCACTTGCGGGTAGCTCGGTAGAATTAAATGTCCTTTTTCCTTTATATCCGTGGGACTCGCGTGTGATATCTGTCCCTTTAGCAATCGCGACCTGCTTCATACCACTGTAATGTTAAAAAACATGAATGTTTGCACTCAAGATCCATCAGCTTATTTATTTATTTATTTATTTAGTTTATTTGATAGGGACCATGCGTATTCATGAACATTGTTGTAGAAAACTACACCATGTAAATACGCCAGAATTAGTAAACAGATACTAGTTTTCATCTGCAGTCCCAGCTTGACAGCAAGTCCCATCATTTAGCTCATCACTGCGTCATCAACCTACGCCTTTGTTATTGTTGGAAACTGCGCCCTCTTGTGGCGAAAAAATCTTACATATTGTGCCTTTAAAGGTTCAAATGTTGACATATCTTACTAAGATGCAATTTTATAAAGTTATACTCTTTATTATGTACATAAATGGACAAAGGTGAACATATTTAGACAGGTTGTGATCCTTGTTTTGTTTTTAGACAGTTGAATATAACTTTCCAAAAAGTCCAGTACAAACGTTACTGCCGCTCAACGGCAGCTGTGACAGTTGCTAGGCGACAAGAACAATCCTCCATACGCTAGACTGTCCCATTTAAACACTCGATTCGACCTTCGCGGCCTTCGAAGTATGCAGCCTCTGAATTGGGACACAGCTCTTTTTCAGGATTCTTTGATGAACTCTCTATTTTCACAGTTCATTAAGCAGCACAACAACCATTTTCAACTGTGAGGATTATAGTATTCATACATGTTTCTTGAGCACCAAATCAGCATATTAATGATTTAATGATTTCTGAAGGATCATAATGGCTGCTGAAAATTCAGCTTTGCCATCAGAGGAATAAATTAAATTTTACATGCAGCCTTGGTGAGCATGAGAGACTTCTGTGTAAATTGTTGTTTATATTTAAATATAAATTGAAATTGTTTTTTATTGTTAGCACATGACAGCGTATACATTTATGTCAAGGCATTGAACTGTATTTGAAAGATTATCATTATTTCTTATGGTAATGAAATCATACAAAGTTATTTTTAAAGACCCCCTGTGGTGAAAATCAAGTTTTGAATGTTGTTTATACGTCTATGTGGTGTTTTTAATATGCTTTAAGACAAACCATGTGCAAATACATCAATCAACATTATTGCTGAGTATTTTCTCTTTAAAACTGAAGTGAACCCAGTACCTTTTTCTGTTCATATGAAAAATCGTGTACATTTAGCAATATAGAGAGTGAATTATGTACATGATGTATATTACGATGTAATGAACTATATGCCTTTCTCCACTGACGTTCTAAGTTGATCAAAGTGTTTTTAAGGAGACTGATTTTTAGAAGGCAGACTGAGGTGGCAAACGGGAACATGGTTTGTGTAACACTAGCAACACCTTATTAGCTATTTGATAACATATTATTAGCTATTTGATAACATAGTCAAGCCAAAGACTAATCATATCAGTTAACGTTATGTGTCAGATGTTGTAGAGAGTGATACATAAAACGCATTACTTTTCTGATACATTGACTTGTAGACGACCCTGTATAATTCACTCTTCCACTTCTTCTGAATCAGTTTCTGGTTCAAACATGTATTGCTGAATTAAACCAGTATTTCCACTTGCCATTATGCAGCGTTTACTACAGTAAAGTTGAGCGAGTGGATCAGGTAGTCCGATCTGGTGTGAGTGAGTGGAGGCAGGGACTAATAACTCAAGCTATTTTAAAGGGGTCATATAATGGTACATGCACTTTTACAAGTTGATTGTACTGAAATGTGTGTTGGCAGTGCCTGTACACAACCATCATATAATGATAAAAATCCATCCAGTGGTTTTGTTTTAATCTCCTTATATGTTTTCCCCTGCCTCAAATCGAGCCGTTCGAGCCTGTGACGTCACAAGCTCGCACGCCCCTCCCACGATTGTTGATTGACAGGAGCGTTTCAACACAGACCCGCCCTCGCTCATGAGGGATATGTCAATCATAGTCTGCGCGAACCGGCGCGGTCATTGTTGATATGCTGGAGCACTGTCTATGAGCAGAATGGAGTCTAAGCGATTGTGGTGTTCTGTTCTTGGGTGTAATAACGAACACAGCAGTCATTTAATGTTCCTAAATCCGAACCGCTGAAGACGCAGTGGCTGTGTTTGTTTTCGAAGGGAATATTCCCCACGAGCAACGTCAATGCTCTCATGTTTGCGCGAATCATTTCACACACCAGACTGCTTTATAAACGAGGATCAGTATAAAAAGGGATCGGTACCAGATATTCGTGTTCCTGCTGAATCTCCAGAAGAACGGAAGTGAGTGTAACGTTTTATTAAACTTCATATTAATATATTAATCTTTGCAAATCGCTAGCTGCACGCTTCACAATGAATGCGTCTAAGGTTTACACTCAGGGTACATTACGGCATGTTTTCTATGTATGATGTTCTCAATACAATTCATAATCCCACGTTTATACTGAACAACGCGTTATGGTTATTGTGTTATTGAGTTACAAATGGTGTATGCACAGAACAGAGGGGCGGAGTCAGCAAAGCTCATTATCATTTAAAGTCATATGCACTGAAACGGCGTGCTGAAAACAGAACTGTTTTTGACCAGGTAAAATAAGTGTTTTCTTACAATACTAATGAGAATTTTTAATTAAAGTATATTACAAACTTTTAATTTAGACCCTAAAGAATCATATTAGCTTGTACAAAAATGGCATTATATGACCCCTTTAAGCCATGAAGGATTTTCTTTTTAAATATGTCATTTTGGTGAACAAAGATGAGTTTTAAGGGATAAAATGATTGACTGCTGGGGGTCTTTAAATTAAAACGAAGTGTACAAAAAAATGTTTGTAAAATCTTTCTCAGGCTGACCTGGTAGTCATCGTCCCCAAGTCCAGATGCCCTGAGGAACCACTGGCCTGCACACTGGTCAGACATTACACTGTTGGACAGACTCTGTCCACTGCTGTCATAATTGTAGTATTTGCCTGTTAGAGAAAGAGAAAGACATTCCACAGGGGGAAAATTCAATGAATGTTGTTGGAAGACTACATTTTTTATTCCAAGTCATATTCTCTTTCCAAATGAAACCTCAGTATACAAACAGATCTAATGGAAGACTGAACATTAATACTAAGAGTCTGTAAGAGGCCAAAAAAGGATGAGCATAGTTTTTAACAAAAATGGAAAATTACAGTTAGTTTAGATGGCACTGTGTATGCTTACACTCACCATTCCACAAGAGTTTGTCAAAGGCTGCACTTCCTCTTTCTAGAATATCTCTGTAGCGCTGATAAACAGACTCGCAATTCAGCACACGTGCCATTTTACACATCATGCACACTGATGCCAGCCACAAACCTCCACAGTATGCACTGGAAGAGCAGAAACACAGGGGTTACTTGAGCTGCTACACAGGACATTACAAAGCTTGTTCCATGATACAGGTTTTTAATATACAATTTCAATATACAATACTAAAATCATTTAGTAACATTCTATTCATAAAATAAAATAAACATCCTGAGCCCCAACCTGGGTCCTGTCACCTTCCATCCATCATATGTCTGGTCTGCATAGCCAGAATTTTCTATCAGCCCATCACCATCTTTATCAAACTTCAACTCTGTTTCCATGACTGTCTGAATAAACCAGAATATCAGACATTTGAGTAATGTGTCCTAAAGCACTTAGCGTTTGACAAGCGCCTCTACATTTACATAAACAGAAGATATGATGCAGTACAAACTACTAAAATAAAACACAAACAACTCACCTGACATATAGGCCACATGTCCTTCAGATACTGCTCATCCTGGGTCAGGTGATAGTCTCGGAACACCTGAAGCACAAACTTCAAGTTCAGATCCTTCCAGTCGGCTGTATCGTGGATCAAGTAAGCATTGACACGAACCCATGGCTCATCATCTGTTTCCACAAGGAAAAAATTTAAATGAGGTTCAAGATTATTACATTTTTTATTTTAGGTTATTTCTTTTTCTGTCTTTTCCATATGCAACATGTGTGAATTCATGGTCTTCTATTATGCACAACTCACCAGGGTCTCCAATGTCGTGAGGTACAACGCCCCGGGTCTTGACTGGGGAGTATCGGCCGTCCATTAGATTTAATCTCTCTGTAGGGTCATGCTGAACGACGCTACCAGCTGAATGAGAGTGAGAGAGTGAGTGTGTGAGAGAGATTTAAACACAGAATGCAAAACAGAATGGGAATGTATCAACAAATTAATTTAAAATACAAAAAGTAGGTTATTACTAATGAATTTGAATACTGTCTTCAATGTTATCAGAAAAATGGAAGCTTAGCTCACCAATATCATACTGCAGACTGAGAGCCAGCTTGGGCCAAAGCATGATGAGAGCGAATGAAGCATAGAAGTGCACATCATACGTGTTATACATCCTATACTCCTGACCTGGGACAAGACAGTAAGAAACACAGAATTGATTTATTAGATTGATTTAAACTTAAATGAACATTTAGGCCCTGTTTCACAGATAGGGCTTAGATTACGCTAGGATTGGGCCTTAGTTAAATTAGGGCATTTAAGTAGCTTTTTTAAATGCGTCTTAGAATATAATTTTACTGGTTTGCATCTTGAGACAAACAATGGCACTTACATATTTTAGTGCAATTTCCTTTCAGTTAAAACAGCTCAAACATGCATTTTAGTCTAGGACTAGCTTAAGTCTGGCCTGTGAAACTGGGCATTACAATGAACTGAGATCTATGGTATGAAAATTTGTCTGATTAGAACCAGTGTTGTAATAATTAACTATAAGTTATAACTAAAACCATTAAAAACTTTTTTGGTATTTGAAATAAAGCTTAAATTAAATATAAATATTAGACAATAAAATTAGAAATGTTGCCTTGGCAACTAACAAATTAGTTTAAGTTGAAAAGTTCCTAAATCAACCCCCGGTTTCACAGACAAGGCTTAAGCCTACTACCAGACTAAAATTAATGTTGAGCCGTTTTAACCTTGCACTTTCATATCTTAAATTATGTCAGTGCAATTGATTTGTCACAAGATGCACACCAGTAATGTTTTTTTCTAAGGCACATTTATAAAAGCTAAGTAATTAAAACTAAGGCCTAATTCTGGCTTAATCTAAGCCATGGTCTAAGGTCAGTGAAACTGGGCCCATCTTGAGCTCAGTTTGCATATTAAGTTAATGTTGAATGTTACCCTCTAGGTAAGCGAATCGGCCGTACTCCTTGACAACTTCAGGCTGTGCTGGAAGGCCCCCATCCTCAGGACGAAGCCCACCGCTGATATCAGCATCCTCTGGAAGCTCCACCCACACAGTTCCACCATCCACAACAAAGTAGAGCTCATTAAACAGAGCAGATTTATACCAAGCAGGAAGAGACCTAGAAGAACAAAGTGTTTAAGTCTACCGATGACTGATATATTTTAATAACAACAAATGAAAAACACTCAAATTTATCTTGAAATAAATTGAAATAAATAAGTGAACATTTATTTCACACAATATTTAGTAAACGTGCTTTGTCCACGGGGCTGTCAGTAAATTTTAAAACTGAGTCAACAAAGAGTTTTGCCAAGCTGGCATGGATATTGCTGATAATGCTAATCTCAAAATGGCCAAATATCAATAGATGAATCAGCCTAGCAACTGAATATAATAGCTGCCTTATGTTGAAACAAAGATGGACACTCAGAATTAGTATATTGCATGTGACTAGGGCAATACCACAAAAAAAACACACATTTCATTCTATATGTAGTGCACTCAAAAAAAGTATGGGGACTGGTGAAACAAAACAAATAATATGCGCAAAATGGCATATAAGGGTTGCTCTTGTCTATGCACATAACGGATAAATAGTAGTCAAATCAATTCACAGGAAAGACGACTGCTTGCTTACACACAGTCTTTTGTAAAGAGTCACACAAATTAGCCGTGGGTAACTTGATTAACTGACAGCGCACGCTATTACGCCATCACGCTTGAAATATTCCATGGGGAAATGACATTTCTTTACCCGTCCTGTAGAATCGGCCTCTGCCACTCATCAATGCTCTCCTCCCATTTACTGTAGTGTGTGAGCGCGTAGTGAGACAGAGACGGGGCAGCGTCTCCTTTGGTGCCATAATAACGTGTGTATCTCCTGAAACAAACGCCATGCACACCCTGTTATTACTTCATAGCATCAAAGGGTATTATTTCATCATGTCAAATGCAATTATATGTTGCATAAACAAACTGAAATATTTCTAGGACCATTAAGATCTTCATATAACAATTAAGCATATTTTCCCCAATTCCCATTATCGTAATGCAATGAAGTCTCATTCTCATTAACGCAATGCAAACAAAAGTAATGACATTTTTTTTAAATTAGTAATATTTATGCATCATTGTCTCCTGGGTTCTCTGAGATTAAACAAATCATCATTGCTGCTCTAATATGAATTCGTAAGGAGCACAAACTGTGACCCTTCAGAATTTTCCTGATGTTTGCTGAGCTCACTTTATGACTGATGATGAGTCTCTTCCTTTCATGAAGCTTGTAAATAATGAAGCTTCTTTCTGTCACAGCCACACCACTTCCTTTTAAAAATCTCTTGAAATTGCTTAATACGTGTTGTTTCCTTTTGAAACATGAACACGAGACATATCAAAGTGTTTGTGCCTTGATTTAAGACATAAGTTATTTTTTTTTCACCAATATCTTTTCTCAGTTAAGAGAACAACCGTAAACCAATAATGCATGTATCTGCTAAAAGTCCATTTTGTCTACATTTAGGACTATACTGGGACATATAGCCATTTATTTGAAATAGAATGTTTTTGTAACAATGTAAAGTCTTTACTGTCACTTTTGATCAATTGAATGCATCCTTGCTGAATAAAAGTATTAATAATTTTTTTTAAACTTACAGACCCCAATTTTTTTTACTTTTAGTGTAAATGGATTAAAATACTTTTTTTATAATACAAATTTATTTTATCATAAAATATTTAAGGGTTTTTTATTACCCTATTTAAGGGTCTTTAAATAGAGTATTTAAAGAAGCTTTGAACTGATAGACCATATTTCTGTTAAGGTTAAACATTCTTGTGCTTGATAAAAATCAAATACCATCCCTGTGACATGCAATTTCCACACACACACTAAAAAAAAGAAAAAAGAAAGATATCAGTATGTCCAAGGTAACCTGATCCATAACGTGTACAAAGAGAATGAAAGAAAGATTAGAGAGCAGATAAAAGAACAAACACAAGCGAGTTTTGTCACAATATGTTGGAGACACCGAAAACACAACAGTGAAAATAATGCAGTTTATTTTAATCATTAAAATATTTATACATCATGGCCTAATTCATCTGGATTCTCTGAACTGAAATAATTTCCCACTGCGCAACTTAATGCTGTTTGCATTAAAAATTTACAGTTGTTCACTTCTCAGAAAATGGTCCAAAAATATTGATGACTCATGTTTTTGTGTCCATATTTTTGTCCAATAATATGCTCTCTAGAATGAGAATCTCCCTCCCACTGACAACCCAACCAGCAACAAGCAAATCATGGATCATAACTGTAATGTATTAATAAGCTCCATGAAAGGAAGGGATTTATAATTTGTCCATATACACATACCTGACATATATTCTCTCTCTGGAGCCAAATGTAATTTTAGGCATATCCCAGGCCAAACTGAACTCCACACTGTTGTGATGGTTAGCAGGCACCGAGCAGCTCACAGCCAGGGCTGCCGCCACTTTCTCCCCTTTCTTTGTGGGTGTGCTGGAGTCCTTAGGCGAGTCGAGCTGTCCATCGATCATGAGGTCACTCCACAGAGCACTACAGGTTCCATTTGGGCTAAACGCTGTCTGGTGACTGATCTCTTGGTCAGACTAAAATAAAGTGAAACTTTAAATAATAAGGGGAAGTACAACAACCGTCTCAAAACCTAGTGAGCTACCTAGCTAGACAGATTTTAAAATACAATTCAGCCAAAACATTTAATTCGGTCATAATTTGCTCACCCTTAAAGGGATACTCCACCCAAAAAATGAAAATTCTGTCATCATTTACTCACCCTCAAGTTGTTGCAAACCTGTGTGAGTTTCTTTCTTCTGCTGAACACAAAGGAAGATACTTTGAAGAACGATTGGAACCAAACAGTTTTTTGGCATCATTGACTTCCATAGTAGAAAAAAAAATTCTATGGAGGTCAATGGTGCCCCACAACTATTTGGTTCCAATCGTTCTTCAAAATATCTTCCTTTGTGTTCAGCAGAAGAAAGAAACTCACACAGGTTTGCAACAACTTGAGGGTGAGTAAATGACAGAATTTTCATTTTTGGGTGGAGTATCCCTTTAATGTTGTTACAAACCTGTATGACTTTCTGTCTTCAGTGGAACATGAAAGATTATTTGAAGATTGTTTTATATCTAAAATGACAGTCAATGGGGAGTCTAAAACAACATTGAAATCCATTGACTTTCAAAACCACTTTGTGCACTTTGTATCTTTTTTGTGTGTGTTTCACAGCAGAATGAAATGCAGTTTGGAACTGTAATTAACAGTTTAAGCTGTCTTTAAAGGTTCCATGACATGGGGTTATTTTATTATTTTATAATGTTTACTGGGTTGCCCTTATAATGTTAGTATGTTTTTTAGATCAAAAATAGTCATAATTTAGAAATAAAAGGCATTTTTCCTAGCCTGATTTTAGCCTCTGATTTGAACACTCTGTTTGAAGGGGCGTGTCTGCTGTGGGATTCAGTGTAACCGGCCACTGCTGTGATTGGCTGACATGCTTGCATATGAAATAGCTATGTATTACATGTGAAACTCTCTCGAATAGTTTTACTACTGCTATTATACGTTTTTACTATTACAGCTATTGAGATTAACGAATCATGAGAAGTTTTTGAAGTATTTAGATCTATTCCCATCACATAAAATGTTGCCGTGATGAGCATTGAGCAGCAGATGACAGTCTGTTGATCGCGAGAATAAAGATCTTATTGCAACGCAGTTTCTGCACTCTCTCTAATGCTTTCACCAATGCAAACACGATGATGTACATACAGTTAGAGCTTCGTTGTGCAGTGTAACGTGCGTCATTGATTTCATAACGAGTTGTCCAGATAAACTCGCGCTGTGTGGAAAGATTGTTCTTTGATCGCTTTCTGTATAATTTGTTCACAATTTAAATAAGATTATTTTCATCCTACTAAAAGAAACGATGTGAAGTTGATATTTTAGTCACTGGCTTGACTTACTGATGCATAAACAGTATTGAACGATTTTGAGAGAAAGATTACCTGTCTGAACTTGAACAATTAGGCTACACATCAGAAATTGTTGCTTGGTAGCTCGATCGATTTATTTTCAGACGTTCATCGAGGCCAGCTCTGTATTGGCCCAAGTTGAGGAAACAGTCGTCGGTGAAATGTTTGGACCATACACAACTTTGGGAAGTTGTGTCGGCGCATTTCCAGAGAAATAAAATTAACCCATTGTTTCTTCAGAGGCTCGGATGAAGGAACTAAAAAATACTTTTGTGTTCATCTGTACATCCGAACACTGATCAACTGCCATGCTTCGCTCGTTTGCAAGCCATGATATCTCTGGAGGAAAAACTCAAATCGTGCTCGTGCGTTCGTACTTCCTAGCTCACTTTCTCATGGGCGAGCCAAATTCTCTGGGCGGGCAAAGCAGAGAAAGGGGAGGTTACCTTTCCTCCGTATGACGTCATACGGAGGAGATTCAAGATCAGCCCGTCTGAGCTTTCATTTTCTAAAAAGGCAGAGAAAGATAGCCAAAGCTCTGTTTACACCGATTGAAATTTCTAGCCACTGGGGGACCATATACAGGCTAGGGGAACTCATATTAATGCTAAAAAACCTCAGAAAGTGAAAATTTCATGTCATGACACCTTTAAAGTCTCGTTTCTCAATAAAACATTTGACAAGCACTTAAATACTTTACATAAGCTATATTTTTGCATAGTTTAATGTGGTAACCCACAGAAATCAGTCACCTTAATAATACTCTTATTTGCACAGGGACACAGGAGCACACACTGTACAGCAAGCTGATGGGGGAACCAGTTTGGCAGATTACATTTGTCTGTGCACTCCTTATAACAGTTGAGTTGTTTTCTTCAAGCATTTACTACAAGCAAAACCTGCTGCTTCTAGATTTATAATGATGCATTACCTTCTCTCTTGCAGCTATACACAGAGTGTAAGGGTTGACAGGCGTCTGGTGATGTAGTAAAACCCCAGACACAGATTCTCCCTCTTTTTCAAGGTGAAATGGTTCATTCCAGTGGCCCCCAATCTTATCATCTTCATGGCCTGATCCATTAACCATCGTGAACATGATGGAAACATCAAGAGCGTAGTTATTCTTATTCTCAATGTCCCACACAAACACAGCCACAGGGAGACTGGAGTCCTGAGAAAGACACAAAGAGATTCGTTTTGAAACAGTAAATTTGGTGGATTCAATTTTAAAAATAAAAATCACTCACACACACACACACCATCTTTACATTTTAATCCACCAAATTTGCTGTTTCAAAACTAATCTCAGTAGCCGCGTTTCCATTACCCTTCAAATTGCGCAAATTGAAATTGCGAATTAAAAATACGCTCAATGGAAACATGTCAATTTCGCAGAAACTCCCATTTATCGCACAAAAGTTTTTACGCTCGCATGAGGTGGTTTTTCAGGCAATTCGAAAAAGGAATATTTCGCAAAACTGCAATGGAAACAGTTTTTGCGCAATTACAGTCACCTGACTTAGAAGGCGCGTGTGTTTGGGGTCCGTGTAGGCTATTGCGTCCATTCGTTTTTCCATAGGCTATAATAGAATAGCAAAAAAAGACTTCTCATACAAAAAAAGAAATATAACACAAACTCATTTTCCAAAACTGTAAAAGGTTATATAAAAATAATACATTCATCAATTATTTTATGATAAATATATTACTGTCTTAAGTGAAGTCATTTATAGTTATAAACGCAAATAATAATAATAATTATTATTATAGCCTATTACATTTATTAGGCTACATTTATTAGGCTACATATTTAGAAGGCGCTTTTATCCAAAAAAGGAACAAAGCAATTCGTCAAATGTCATTCATAATACAGGTTAGACAATAATACAGGGCTAAGATTATCACAAATAAACACAAGATTTTGACGTATATCCAAGGGTTTGTGGAGCGCGCACTGGATGACGGAAGCGCGGGCGCGAACACTTGCATTTTCCTGTCAACAGTGGAAACAACTTAAAATACTCCATAATTTATGGTCATACAGAAAATAATAATACATAATCCGCAACTACTTTTATTTGTGTAAACTCACAATAACAAGAAAACGTTCTTCTTTTGCTAAATAAATCAGGCGCGCTTTCATGATCTCCGTGAACTGGAACATGTCTCAGAAATGAACTGAAACAAAATATAGCCTATAGGCTAAAGCTTGAACGAACAAATTCAAATCGAAAGCAAATACCTTCTGATTATGTAATCCATATGAAAGGTGCATTTCTCTCTAAAGGCGCATCCCATCCGCTTTACAGTGGAGATGAAAATATGTTTGCAGTCGGCACTAACACTGTAGTTATTAATAAACAATTAAAATGCCTAGTTATTTTTTCAGACACTTTTATTATCATTAGCCTATAATCACCTATAAATCACCTAGGCTATGGTTCCAGAGACATGGCTCAGTCGGGCTGGTTTTCAATTAGGCTACGGGTTAAAAAAGGAAAAATAAATGGTCGCAAAAGTACACGGACCGTTTGGACAGAATACGAGACAAAGTTCTTTATTAAATTCATAAAAGAAAAAAGAATTGCAGGAATACTGGATTCTAAACCTCAAAGAAATGCCACAATCAAGACCTTGGAGCAGAAATGAGGGAGAAACACGCAAAAACACCTCATGTGCCGTTCACAGTATTAGGGTCTTTCCTTACCATTAATGCTTGGATAACACACCACGTCTCCTTCCATTAATAATAATAATGTCTTGTGCGGTGGCTGCACGTCTATTCACATGTGTTAAACCTAAACGTCCAAAGTCGCATAACATCGGTTAATGGAAACGCCGTCATATCGCAATAGTTTTTTATCGATATTTAGAAAAAACGCAAAAGTTTTGCGCAAATCTGTAATGGAAACGCGGCTATTGTTAGTATGTATTTCACAATATTACTAAAGAAGAGAATAGTTTTGAAACAGCACATTTCGGTTACTACAATATAAAAAAAGTTTTTCCTGCTTCAGTATATTTTAAAATGCAACTTATTCCTGTGATGACAAAGCTGAATTTTCAGCATTATTACTCCAGTCTTCTGTGTCACATGATCCTTCAGAATTCATTCTAATATGCTGATTTTGTGCTCATGAAACATTTCTTATTATTATTATCAATGTTGAAAACAGTTGTGCCGATTTATATTTTGTGGAAAGTGTGATACATTTGTTTCAGGATTCTTTGATGAATAGAAAAGAACAGCATTTATTTGTAACATAATAAATGTCTTTACTGTCACTTTTAAGTCATTGCTGAATTAAAGTATATATAAAATATATTTAGTACTGTCAAATCGATTAAAATAAAAGTTTGTTTATATAATATACTGTATGTGTGCGTGTAAATATTATTATATATATATATATGTGTGTGTGTATATATATACACACACACACACGTATACAGAATACACACACAGTTGCACGTACAGTTGCAATCGAAATTATTCAACCGCCATTGTAAATCAGGTTTATTGACAATTTACAGACTTTCAGCTGTTTGCAATGAACAAATAAAAAAAAAGTAATTAAAATAGCTCAACACAAATGTTTCAAGTGGTTTCCCCAAATTCAATTGAAAATGACTTCTGCAGTCTCAAAATTATTCAACCCCTTTATGGCAAGCATTTTTATTACTTAGTAGAACACCCATTTGCTCATGACCTGCTGCAAACGAGATGTATTACCAGACACCAGTTTCTGGCAGTGTTTCTGAGGAATCTGAGTTTGTTCCTTATGAGCAATGGCCTCAAGTTCAGTAATATTCTTGGGTTTGCGTGCTGCAACCACCTTCAAATCCCACCGGAGATTTTCTATGAGGTTCAAGTCAGGTTACTGTGATGGCCACTGTACAATTCTCCAGGACTTCTTCTGAAACCAAGCCTTTGTGGAATTTGCGGTCTGTTTGGGATCATTGTCCTGTTGGAAGGTCCAATGATGCCCAAGCTTTAGCTTCCTCACTGATGGCATGATGTTTTCTCCTAGGATTTCCTGATGCTTCAATTAATCAATTTTGCCTTCCACACACAGCAGTTTACCAGTGCCATAGGATGCAAAGCAGCCCCAGAGCATCACTATTAGGGTTGGGTATCGTTTGGGTTTTATCCGATTCCAGTACCTACTCGGTATTTTTTAAACGGTTCCGGTGCTTAAACGGTTCTTAAATCGGTACTTAAGAAAATGAAACCGCACACACTTTATCAAAAAATAATACCCTTTAATTTACAGGGCCAAACTGGACACAATATTAACTTAAATCTTTAAACAATATAAATACAAGTAACATATGGTAATAATAAAACCAATATAAAATAAAAATTCATATTTACATAATATCAAATGAAACAATATTGTATCAAACAATGTAATAATACTGGAGATTAATAGAGATTACTAGCAGGCAGAGCTGCCAACTCTCACGCATTGACCGTGAGACTCACGCAAATGACCCTTTTCACACAGAAAAATCGCGGACAAAGAGGACACTGACAGACAAGACAGAGAAGGTTACTTTTGATATGGAACAAATCCACAGCTGTCAGATTCTGTCAATATTTTTACGAGATTCACACAATAAATAACGTTTTGGCTCTTTGAAATGTGACAGATCGCTGTAGCGCGTCAGTTCAAACGGCACGTGATACAGCAGCCTACAAATACAAATCCACTGCTTCTTAGCTACGCAGCGTTGAGTGAACCTATGAAAGAGAACATCTCTGGTTGGTGTAACATATCTCTCAATAGGGAACGGGACGCAGCCAAGCTCCTCGCGGTGCCGACCAGCTTCCTTTTTCGGCAGAGAAATCTGAGGAGCAGATGGCGCGCGCGCGACAGCATAGTATGACGACGTAAGTGCGTCGATGCGGCGCCATCAGCCAATGAATTGGCTTGATTCTATATGGGATTCAGACTATCGGCACACCCAGAGGGCGTTCTGACCATAGACATAATAAATACATAGACGCCCTATTGGCCGCTTTGGAACGTTGCTGCGATACGTCAACGGGTCCGCCATTTTGCGGAGGACAAGACTGCGCTGTGAACAAATGTAAGTAAACGGGGGAGCTGCGTTTTTTCTGGATAAAAACAAACTGTTTTTACATTTATCAACCGATTTCAGTGGTTTGTATGTGGTGTACAAAAAGTTCCATCTCTAGTTATTTAAAATCTCGATAGTTAGACTTGTAAAAAAATTTTTTTTTAATAAAGAATGGTCAATTAAGCTCAGGCTTGTCATGTATCTGGCTTTTTATTCTTGGATAAGAATGGTGAAGACCCCCATACTGAGATATAATTTAAGTTTTCTTATTGTGGAAAAAGCATTTTCTGTGATTTTTAAATAGACGCTATCTTTATAAACAAACAACATATTTGAGCTTTAAACAACTACATTGTCGACTGAAAAACTATTAAAACTACATTTCGTGACACAATAACAGTAGTATTTTTAAATGTATCCTCTGAACGTTACTATTACTAATTAAATCATGACCAAATACAACCAAAAACAAACGTTCAGTCTTGCTTGTGAAAGGTAATTCCTCGAAAGCTGTTTTCAATTGTGTGGCGATGTGTACAGCCCCAAACAGCGCACAAAACATGCATTTTTCTCAATTCCCGGTATGAGAGGAATGGGAAAGAGCGCGCATGCGAGACAGAAGAAACTGTGCTCCAAACTGTGTAGCACACGCACGGTGGAGAGAGAGAGAGCGAGAGACCTTGTGTGTGTGTGTGTGCGCTTGAAGTTAGGCACCGAAATCAGGCACCGAAATTTTCTTTCTTATTCGGTCTGGTTACTACCGTTTAAGTCGGAACCGGTTCCCTATTGGCACCGAGTTTCGGTACCCAACCCTAATCACTATGCTGAACTGTAGGCAGAGTGTTCATTTCAGCATATGCTTCATTCTTCTTCCTCCAGACATACCGCTGATCCAGAGGGCCGAAAAGTTCCAGTTTTGTTTAATCGCTTCACAGAAAAGAATCCCAAAAGTTCTGTGGCTTATTTATACGATTCTATTCAGGAGGTTATTAAAGTTCAATTATTAAAAGTTGCAATTTCAGTTAAATTTGGGTAAACCACTTGAAATATTTGTTGTGTTGAGATATTTCAATTACTTTTGTTTAATTTGTTCATTGCAAACAGCTGAAAGTCTGTAAATTTTGCCAAAAAAACTGATTTGCAATGGGGGTTGAATAATTTCAATTGCATCTGCGTGTATATATATATTAGGGGTGGAACGGTACATGTATTCGTATTGAACCGAAACGGTACGGGCGTCACGGTTCGGTGCACGAATTTACACGGAGAATACACGGTATAAAAATAAATAAAACTCCCGTGCAAATTACTTAATGCAATGCGGAATCTGTACCATCGGCTTAGCTCTGAACGCGCGTTCACTTCAAACGTTTTGGTTTATACGCGCGTCCTATTCGCTTTGGACTAGCGTCGAACTAGACGCGATAGACGCGAATTTGACGCTCTATTCGCGTTTGGTGTGACGGCATAATGAACACGCTGCGATGTCAAGATTGCAATGCTGGAGTGTGTGTGTGTGTGTGTGTGTGCGCGCTAGAGAGAGAGGCGCGAGCGCGATCGAACAGTGGAAACCTAAAAAACATACTCCGTCATTTTGTTCATACAGATCATTAAACCTGCAAAGTGTTCACTTATATGTGTGTACACTCGCAATAAAACACAACATTGTGCTTTTGTCACACTGTAAACTCTTGTCAAAGTGTAACCTACTACAACTTTCACCCAACCAAAATCACACACACACACACACTGTTTTAAAAGCACAACATATTTATCCAACTCCATTTCAAAACAATCTGTGGGTTCCATCTTTTATCATTTATAATTCAGATGAAAATGTTACATTGTTAATTAATAATGTTAATTAAAATTAAGGAAAACAAATATATTGATCTGAAATATAGCAAAATAATTTTAAATTAATTCAGGTACAATTACCAAAGCAAGGCCTTTTTGTCTTTTTATTAATTTAATTAATAAACTAATTATATAAAACTATTGTCAGTCCACTACAAATAAACTGGTTCTATGCCTTTATTAATACAAAATTTCCCTCCATTGTACCGAAATCGTACCGAACCGTGATGTCTGAACCGAGGTATGAACCGAACCGTGACTTCTGTGTACCGTTCCACCCCTAATATATATATATATATATATATATACACACACAAACTAAATGTGATTCATTGTTTTGACAGCCCTAAAATAAATATATACATAAATATATATATATATATATGTATGTGTACACAATGTGCTTTAAATATCAAACACATTCTTGCTGAAATATCAAACCCAGCTTGTCACCTTGTAGTCGTGAGGGATGACAGGTGACACCTGTCTGCAGGTGAGAGTGACGTTCTGGCCAGGCAGGTGATAGACGGTCCAGGCTCGTGGGTACAGGGCATGGTAAAAGGCGTATTCACCACAATAACCCCAGTTCCAACCCTGAAGAGTTGGGGGTCGCTCTGTAGACAACACCTGCTGGTATACTGTCTGACCCCCCCTGCGCAGACATACTGTAAACTAGGACATAGAGGGTGTTAAAACAGACTTAAAATTAGTGAAAGAGAGATTTGAACACCTGCATATATGACAACACACACTTGCTCATTTTGTGAAATATTATTACAATTTAAAATAAATGTGTAATTTATTTCTGTGATGGCAAGCTTATTCTTCAGCAATCAGCATCATTAATCCAGGCTTCAGTGTCACATGATCCTTCAGAAATCATTCTAATATGCTGATTTGCTGCTCAGGATATAGTTATTATTATCAATGTTGAAAACAGTTGAGCTGCTAAATATTGATGTGGAAACAATGATGTATTTTTCAGGATTCTTTGATGAATAGAATGTTCAAAAGAACAGTATTTATTTTAATTAGAAATTAAACATTATGAATGTCTTTACTGTCACTTTTAATCAATTGAATGCGTCCTTGCTGAGAATGAGAGAATTAATTTCTTATCAAACAAATAAATAAATAAAATAAAAATCTTACTGACCCTAAACTTTTGAACAGAAGTATGGCCTAATTAGGTAATTTATTGGATCACAAACAGCCCTTTACCTGGTTAGCAATAACGGTTTTGTAGTGGTACATTCCGGGATTTAGTTGCCACCGGCAGAAATCCCCCCTCCACCCACGTGTAATACTTCCTCCTCCAATGCCACCAAGAGGAGCACCTGCACAAAACACATCCTCCATTACATGAGGTCATTTTAAGGTTTCTGTTATTGCTTTGATATTTCTGGTTGTCTTTGCACTTACCATAAATTTGTTTCAGTGGTAAAGCTCGAAACATATCAATAAAAGGAGCCTTCTTCTCAACCTGGGTCTTTTTGTACCACCATCTCAGATACCTGCTCAGACAAACATAAAGCAAGGAGGAATTTACAAAACTGACCTTTCTCTTTGTCATACCCACATACAGACTTGACATGATATTAATGAACAGTGAAGATGGGTAACTGAGTTTTGTTGAATATAGTGGCATGTATCTTATGTGCATAAATCACACTTTGACTTATTAAAGGTGCAGTAAGCGATTTCAGAAAACTGCTGTTGAAAGTGGATTGGACCGAGCACCACAACACACTTGTAGCCAATCAGCAGTAGGGGGCATGTCCACTCATGATGGGGGAGGAGAGAGAGTGAGCAAGAGGGAGATTTGAAGAAAGACTGTAGAAAGAGAGATAGCTGAGAGACATTTTAAAAAAGAAAAGGTCAGAGGAATATCACAGGAAAAAGAAAAGTTTTGTGATCAAGCAAGAGCTTCAGGAGCAATGTTAATATTAGAAAAGCTTTCCAGCACTGGAGAGACCTAAGAGGGAAAACCTGAAAAATGGACGCCGAGGTTGCCTTGTTTCTGCTCCATTCCACTGGTTTTGAGTGTGCGCTGCTGCAAACTCTTGCTTGCATGTACTGCATTTTTTATTCTTCCTTGTCGTTAGTTCATCATCTACAATTTATTTTGCTTGGCTTCAACTATGATAAAGAGACATCCACTCTTGCATTGAGTGTTTGTGCATTTTGGGGGCAGAGCAACGAATGGAGGAGTGTGATTGTTTGGGTTGATTTAAAATATCAACAGTGTTCAACAATGATTCTCAGAAATCGCTTACTGCACCTTTAAATAGAACTTTATGGCACCACAACAATGTAAGTCCTAATAATTAACCTCTCTCACACATACTGTATACATACAACATTTCACTCTTTTAGTCACTCTTAAACAACTCCATCCAACACTCATTCTTTCTGTCTCGCTCATTCTCATGCTATAATGCACACACAGCTGTTTTCAGTCGTCGTACTCAAGCACAACAGCGCTTAGAAACAGAGACCGATTCACACATACATAAAAGGGAGGATGGCATTGTGGGAAAGGCTGAAAAAAAGCTGCCAACTGTCTCTGCCCTGGAAAAAAAATCACCTTTGCTACTCTACTGACTGGAATTTTTATTCTTGTTATTATTAGTTTCTTTCCAAAAGTGCAACCATCACCTACTATAGAAGTCTTTAATTTACGACTCAATACGATTATCACAGACGTTAGCTCTATGCTAGTGTGGACTGCGATTACTCAATCAAGTGGTAAAGGTGGAGCAACATGAATACAGTATTCACATTCACATTATAGGACTGACTGTGTAAATGGGAATGCACAATAAAGATTTCAAAAGCTCATGACAGTTTTTGTTAATCATTAACGTGGAATAAAACACCACACAGGGACAATATTGACTGTCTGATACAGAAAATGATTAACCAGCTCCAGCACAATGTTGGATAAAAATTAATACTGTAAAATAATTATTACAACAAAATACAGTATCTAAACCCAGGCCAAAAGCGATCAGGCTGTTTATTATATTTAAAGGGAGGAACTTCATTAAAATGTATTAGTTACTGTGCAAGTCTAACTAGTTAGAGAGGAATAACTAACTACGTATTGGATTTAATGCAGTACATCATTGCATTACAGGACATCTCGAGTTTAACTAGTATGTGAGATGTAATAAACAGAATGGGCTGTCCTCTTTTTATGAAGATGTTATCAGTTACCATAAAACACTGGTTGGTTAAATAAAGCTGGCTGCTAAGAACCAAGCAGTGAAAACACGTAATTCTGAGGTCAAAATAAAACTACTTAGCAACATTTCCTGTTCCTATCTCAACTATATAATGTTAGAGTGGAAAAGGCCTTTGAGATGTATAGAATGGTCCATTTCAGCAGGTCTATTTCTTATGATGTGAACAAATAGTCTATTCTTTAGTAAATTGTGTTTACTTTAGGTGAAGCCAGGAAAAACAAATTGAGACATGTCTTGTTAAACATACCTGACACCTAAAGAAATATGCTCGATCATGTTGGACAACGAGACATCTTTGGCTTGAAACGGTTTCCGCTTCTCTTTGAACTCGTGTGCCAGACATATCCGCCAGCCGTTCTTGGGGACACCAAATCCTGTTTCTGTAGAAACGTACCGGCTCATCAGCTCCGCTAAAGATGCGCTGTCATTTAAATCCATAGTTTGAAGCTCTGGGATCACCAGTCCAAACCAAAAGTGTAAAAATCAGATCCCTAAATCCTTTGAAAAAAGGCAAAATAGATAGAAGTGTTAATTCATATAGGTTATTCCCTTTATTTAAAGACTAAAGCAATAAACATCCTTAATGACACATGGTTTGGTGGCAAATCTAAAAATGACATCTTACCTACTGCGTGGTGCAGGTAAGAGTAAAGATCACATGTTTGATCTGCATGCACACAGGTAGGTAATCTACATACGAACGCAAAGTTCACCTGTCACCAGGGTGACGAAACAACAGAGTTTAGTTCCAGCGACAACCACGTTCTGGAGATGTAATCTGATCCTTTTCTGTTCAATTAACTAACAATACCTTGACCTTTCCTTCATTTCACCCCTACTCCAGGCAAATCTAACCTATCATTTTTCTGTAAGTACAATTCACCTGGCCAAATAAATAACATGTCCGCACACCCTCTAAGCCTGTCTTGACATTCTCGAGTGCACATCATACAATGTCATGACATGATATACTGCACTAAAATTCACTACAATAATAATATTTTAAAAAATAAGAATAAACTACAATACATATTATTTAAAATAATAATATATTATTATTAACTAATTTGAATAGAATATATATAATCCATGATTTCTGCCCTTTACAAAAAAAAAAAAAAACATTCCTTAAACCTCTGACACTTTTTTTTAAAGAATTGTAACCCTGATTCCATTCTGCTGTAGTGTTTCATACTTTTTCCTTTTTTTATATAATTTGACGTCTATTTAATTCTGTTATTACTTTCTAGAAATGCACTAAATCACACAAACTATGTTTTTAAACATGTCCCAAACTCTGGTTAGTGTTGTAAAAATTGCAAACTCGCATACAGAATATATATTATCTCGCATATATATTATTAGGCCTACCTTCTCAGACAGACGGTCATCTACCGTCCTTTTTCACTTATAAAAAAAGAGTAAAACTTAATTTTCGGCCCTATTTTGAAAAACGTAGCACCATTACAGAATCATGCTTTGGGCACATCTAATGAAAGCTGGTCCAATCTGATGCAATAATGTCCAATATAATTTTTCAACTCATCGCCACACTCTAAACTTCTGGTTAACGTTACTCATGTCATATTTGCTTTTTAGATTTCCCATGCATTATTAATGTATTTCCCATTGTTATTATCTTACCCACGCTGTCCAGCGGAGCAGTGTAAACCTCTCTTACCCTTGCCTCCGGGCACCAACTCCAACACCACCCACCCAGGGGTCTGCGACGCGTCAGTGGCGAGCTGCACTTGTTTCGACGCTCGCCAGCATGACCGGGTCAATAGAGCCACCCGGTGTCCCTGTGGCTGCTGTTACACCTTGTTGCGGTTGGATCTTGGGACAATGTTTCAAAGTGAACAGCAAAAGCTAAGTTGTACAGACAAAAGCATGTATTTAGCATTTATAAGATTCCTGAAGTAAAAAACACATCATCTTATGCCGAACTACACATCCCGATCTCTTAATTATTAACTGGTCAAAGCCCGATGCCGAAATCAATTCCCAGTGATAGTGCAGTAGGGCCTTCTGTTGGCCTGAACCAATGAGCAAACACTCGGGGGAGTAACTTTCAGCAGTGTCGTCATCTCAGTATTTTACAAATAAACATAAACATTGTTCTGTGTATATATTTTGTCTCATAAGCCACGAGGTGACTATTCAAACGATTAAACGTTACATTTTCCTAATCAGTTTAGTTTTGATGAAAACCTACCACCCCCTTTTATTTTTTGGTCTGGAACTTTTACGTCACATTTGCCACGGAGCCAATGCGAGTGGATGAACGTGTGTACTCGTTTCTTCGAATCGGTTCTTTTGAACAGTTTGTTTATCGTTATTTAGTCTGTTCCAATCCAGTTTGTTTCCGTCCTGATTTTGCCAATAAAATCATTATCTTTGTTAGTCGCATACAAAATGTCGGTTTTAATGAGCATTTTATTAAAATGTACAAAATATATTTTTCTGCCAAGAAATATAAATGACCTTTAATATTAATTAATGTACATGCAAATGTTATCTAATCTTTCTTTTGCAATTATAAATCTCGGTTCACTCAGTTTATCGGGGAACCTATTCAACTGATTCATTCAAAGTAATCGACTCACAAAAATGATTTGTTCACGAGTTGGACATCGCTATACCGGAGTTCATACAAACGATGACATCTTATACTTTCTCGTGTTATGTTGTACTGAGTAATTCAAAATAGTATGCACAACGAACATTTTTGTCAAGTCTATTTCCATTATATGACAACGTTTAATTTTCTATTTATAAATGTAGCCTGAATGACGTGTGGAGAAACTCAGTGAAACCTCATAATGGCCCAGAGAAAACCGTCTCTTGTTTTGTTTTTAAGTCACTGGAGCGTCGCCGGGAACTCGGTCTTTTAACCTCTGTGGTTTACGGATACGACGTAGAAAATATCGACGGGAACAAATAGCGGTCGTTTGTTTTAAACAACTTCGAGGTATTTTAAAGGGAACTAATAAAATGATGTTAGGACTTCCTGCTAACATAGTAAACATTCGTCGCTGCGCCAAGCTACACGACTTTAGCTCTTTAAATATAGACATCTATCTACAGTCTAGTTTTGCACATATGTTCCTGTCAGGGTCAGATTAATTAGGAGATTCTTGTTCTTTCAGTGCGACAGGTATTAGACAATAAGTTCAAATGTAAATCTCTTACAACTAAGCTATTCTTCACAATGTTTATCTGTTGCATGATTTACTCTCTTAACTTACCTGCTAAAAACAGCTTAAACCAGTTTACGCTAGTTTAGAAAAAAACAACAACATTACAATCAGCCAACAAACCAAGCTGGTATATATATATATATATATATATACACACACACACATATATATAACCTCTCTGTTTTTCCCTTAGATGATTGAGGTGGTGGCATCTATGGCCAGAGGGCCTGTGTTTTTGGCCGGGGAGGTTTTAGAGTGTCTCATAACCTTCACAAACCCTATGTCACATCTGTCTACATCTGCCAGCAGGTAAAGAACACCATAATCAGCATGAATGTAATGTGCAAGGTTGCTTTTTGGCCACTGCCTCATTAATAAGTTAAACCCTGCTGTGCTTTGGTGTATCTCCACATTTCAGTCATTATATGTGCTATCAGTTCTGAAGTGAGTCTGTTAATCTTCCACAGTGAGATGTTGGCTTGGGCCAGTGCTCAGATTCACTGCCAGTTCCATGCTAGCGAGAGTCGCGTGGCTCTGCCCGCTCAGGGCACCAAGCAGGACGTGCAAGCTGAGAGTGACACCGTGCTGATACCAAGCAGAGGTGATAAATAAGCAGCTGATCTCACACTTGTTTTACTCAATTTTTAATATCGAATCAAAGATAAAGCGACCAGAATCATGGGCAGTTTTTTACAACAGCCAATATCTAAAAGGTTGTAGTTAGTTAGACATAGGTTTGTATTTTCAGAAGCAGAACAGAATAGCAAGTAAATTTGGAACAGAAAGTATTCCAAATTTTACTCTGACTTTGGCAGATTGAGAAAATGCTGTACACATGTTGAGGTTGTGGAAACTGCAAATAGTTCTATTGGGTGCAACAGTTGGGTTCCGGAAATAAAAACTCGATTCGTTTTTTTAATTTTTAACGATAACTTATGAACCTTTAAAGACAGACCTGCTGTGAGTTACGAGGTTGTTAATAAATGGGATTTGCTTCTGCTAAAGCCGTCAGCCTGCATTACTTCAGCTTATTTTTAAAATAATTGTGTTTAACAGTGGAATTCTTGGTGAAAAACTACATTACCCATGATGCTGTACTGAAAATTACACCAGTCAGAGCAACATACTCCAAAAAACGCTCTCAAAATACTGAAACATTTGTATATATATGCATATTTTCCAATGAACTTAAAATATATAGTTTTTATACATATAATCAACTTTTGTAAATGAGTAGTTTTATATTTCTCCATCGTTTTTAATTTGATTATGCTGTTTGCAATTAATTTGATTATGCTTCGTGGGATTGTAGTTCTTTCCCTCACTAAAGCCGTTAAGAACACAGTCTTGTACCTTTGACTTTTTGTCCGATTTTCAAAGACTGTTTTTGCTTCAAATCAAAGTTTGTAGTGTTGTGATTCACCTTGTAGCTGATTGGCTTGTATCATGGCTTATTACTCTTTAACGAAAAATGAATGAGAAAAAATACTTCCAGAACCCGCACAGCTGAAAAGGGGGCCGGCACTGTTGCACTATATTTATGAGTAATGAGTATGCTGTTCTTGCCATATGCTGAATACACATGTACATTATTAAAAATTACGTGTTCATTTTACATACCTTAAAATGGATCAAAGGTTATCCAGCATGAATTACATGAACAGAAAGTAGGTAAAAACATGCTGGGCAGAATAATGACCAAAAATGATCTGCCAAAGTCACAAAAGTAGTTAATTAGAGAAAATGCAAAGTACCAGTCTGCTGAAATAAGTCATTGACTTTGGCTCTGTTTCAAGGTCAGAAACCCTATAAAATTCAAGAAACTGCTAATGAACTGCTTCATATTACAGTATAAGCAGATTTATTCACAGGAAACCTCTTGATTTTTGAGCAGGGATTTAGATCATGATTATGAGGAGAGATTTCACGATTTCCCTCATTTCTTCATTAATCCAGGTGAACGAGGGCAGTGTGTGCTGGACACACCACCTAAGATCTTGTTCTGTGACCTTCGTTTGGACCCTGGAGAGAGCAAGACATGTAAGATACTACATTTAAATCTGACACGTTTAGATGGCACATTACATGTTCTTTTTATACAGTGTTTGTGTAGTTTACACTGTTTGGACTTTCACAACTTCAAGAAGTAAACCCCTTAATCATTTCAGAATTAAGCTAATTCCTCATGACCCACATATTGTTGATATTTCTCTGAAAACTGGCTCATGGCACAGGACCAACCATCAGCTGGCCAAAGTTTAACTATGTTTAATTGCACATTATGCCAGCCTGGCTAATGTCATCCTAGCAGAACTCTGCTAGGTTTTTGTTTTCAGATGTGACTACCACCAAATAATGTTTTCCCCTTTTTCAGATACCTATAGTGAGGTCGTGCCCTCTGACGGTCCACCCAGTTTCCGGGGTCAGGCAGTGAAATATGTGTACAAGCTCACAATTGGCTGCCAGCGAGTCAATTCGCCTATCAAGTTACTGCGAGTCCCTTTCAGAGTTCTTGTGCTTCATGGTAGGTTCCACTTCTTTTCCCTCTTTGTATATGGTTTCCCTTTCAGCCCTGTCCATGCAAAGCAGATTAATTTTTACCAGGCTGAATTTGAGATGCATTAATATTTCCCCCCCAATTGTTTTATTTTTACACACAAAGAAATTATTCATCTTTTTTAGAAATATGTGTGAAATTATATATACTCACATAAAATGAGGATCTGAGTCATATCAACTTAGAAAAAGCTGTTTTCTTCCCCTTCATGGTCGCCATCATGTTAAGATCAATGATCAGACCAACTGGCTTTATCTCGGTAAACCACCACCTATTATCAGATACTTTGTGGTTGCGGAATAAATTAACCATGAGTGACAAATATGCCTGTCTTTCTACATCTGTAACTAAGAACTTTTGCTTTTTTGGATGATGTTAATAGGTGTCCATAAAATGTCCCACACAATAGTAAGATGGTGTTCTTTTGCAGGTATGCCAGAGCCTCCGTTCCCTCAGGATGAGGAAGTGGCTCCCTCAAACCCCTTCCTGGAGGAGGAGGAAGGAAGCCGGAGAGATACAAGACCGCTAGAAAGAGCTCTGGATATGCTGATGATCACCACCTCACGTCGATGCCCATGTGCGTGAGTGAATGTGGGTGGTAGCGATTGTGGGAAGGCTTGTGTCTTTGAAATTCATCTAACTATTATCCTGTTTTAGTCCTCTGCTCAGTTATGAATTCTGTGTCTCTGTGAATATGGTAATAAGCACATACATTTCTTTCACAGATATGTTCAACATCACAAATGTGCGGGGAAAAGTGGCTAAGTTCTGCATCTTTAAGACTGTGTACAGGCTCGGAGAAGATGTCATTGGCACCTTCACGTTCTCAGAAGGGGATATTCCATGTTTACAGGTATACTATACACTACGGTTCAAAAGTTTGGGGTCAGTAAGTTTTTTTTTAATGTTTTTGAAAGAAGTATCTAATGCTCACCAAGGCTGCATTTATTTAATCAAAAATACAATAAAAAGTAATATTTTGAAATTTTACAATTTAAAATAACTATGTAATTTAGTCCTTTGATGGCAAAGCTGAATTTTTAGCATTATTACTCCAGTTTTCAGTGTCATTCTAATAAATCATTCTAATATTCTGATTTGGTGCACAAGAAACATTTCTTATTGTAAACAATGTTGAAAACAGTTGTGCTGCAGCTTAATTTTTTTATGGAAACTGATAATTTTTTTCAGGATTCATTAAGGAATAGTCTTTAAAAAACAATTTCTTTTAAATATATTTTTTTATAACAATGTAAAAGTCTTTGGAGTCACTTTTGATAAATTCAATGCATCTTTGCTGAATAAAAGTAAATAATTTCTTTAAAAAAAATCAAACTTTTGAGAATGTAAATGCTTCATGATGTGCTCCTGGAATGTTCATGTGTATTTATGTCTGGTCTGCTCAGTATTCAGTAAGTCTGCAAAGTGAAGAGGAGGTCCAAGAGCTGTACCAGAGACGACCCGGCCAGGCGGTCAGTGTCACTGGTCATGGCCGACATGTAGAGTCCTGTTTGCACACAGCCTCCAGCCATTTCTCTCTTCCTGTACCCCTCAACGTCACACCTGGATTCACCACAGATATAGGTTTTTATTAACTAAAATGCTTTTTTTAATTTTTTTAAATAATACTTTGGTTGACATATTGTTTTTATTCTTGTTTTGCCTAAACCTGGAGTTTTAAATCTATTATCGAAAATATGTATGTAAAGGAAATATTTGTTCAGGCTAAGTGCATTGAGAGTCTCGATTATTTTGAGACTTAATTTAGTTAATTTTCTATTTTAAATCAACAGTGATAAGGGAACATTCCCATTCTATGTTTTTATTCTCTTCCCCAGTGACGTTAAGATGGCGACTGCATTTTGAGTTTGTCACAGCGCGGGAGCCAGTGGAGGCACCGGTGGTTCTGCAGAATCAGTCAGAAGTCACAGTATGGACTGGGGCGGAGCATGTGGATGTGGACACCTTCAGTTGGGACCTGCCAATCAAAGTGCTTCCCACCAATCCAACGCTAGCTTCATATGTTTCACAGTTCACAGGGACAAACAGCATCAACATTTGAGTTGTGTTGGTATTTGTGCTGGAAGATCATAAAACTAACAAGTTGTTGTGAGATGTGTTGTTGTTACCAGTCTATTCCAAATTCTAATGTAGCTTATTTTTGGAGTTGTTTGTTCTTATCTTTTGCCGTGCAATGAGATGATAATTCTTTATTTAAGCAACTTTAACATTTCAGCCTTGACCAACAGACTGCTTTACCTCTTGTAATGTTGAAATGTCTGTATTTATTGTCTATATTTCAATGTATGCTCCAAAATATAATGACATGCGGTTTCTGCTGTATTTAAATTACAAGCTATTTTGTACATTTCTCTATATGAAAATCATAACTGAATAAAATCTGTTCAGAGTTATTTGTAGCTGATGATTTGTTGAAACATTGTAATTTTTTGATGTTTAAAGAAAATAGATTTTTACGTACATATTAGATTAAACGTTCTAAATATGAGGCAAACAGTGTATTACTAAGCTGTTATTTACAATAGTGCATACACGATTAAGGAAAAGCTTTGGTTATGCTGCTTAAAATTAGAAACATGGATAAAATGTGCAATCAAATCAGAGTATTGCTTGTCTCATGAAGAGTTTTATTGCAATGATTTAATCAGGAATACACTTAATTTTACTCTCAGGGCTTGAAAACATCTTTGCTATTGAGAGAAGGAACTGTAAAAGAGACAATGACAGGCCATTCACTGCTAATATTTACTGTTATAGTGATGTAATAATAACATGGTAGAAAAGGCACAAATACACATAATGCACAACATTCCATACAAATAAAAATAACTTCTGATCTATCTCTCACTCCAATACATCATTCCAACACAGGACTCGCTTTCCTCCCCTACATGCTGTACATGTCAAACCGCTTCCTTAAATGGTAATAGTTATGTTTTGAGAATACAGTTGCTATAGGAGTAATATCCCATCTCACTTAACAGTGAGACAGATGTTAGCTGACAGGCAGGGGATTTGTGATTTGAAGGCTTTCTCCATGCTAACCTTCTAGTTTCATGTTGAGTGCTCCATGTCTTGGGTCAACATTGTTGTCTTCTCCAGGAATGCAGGGCAGACGAGGATCAGAGGTCATAACCAGCATGACCTGGCAGGTCAGAGATTCAACCTGAACTTCACAATAGGGAGGAAAGTCCACAGGCCGATGCACACTGTAATTCAACAATTATAAATTACAAATCAAAATGGACTAGTTCCATGTAGCAACAAGTACAAAACAGCTAAATAGTACTCTTAAAATTAAAGGTCTCAAAAGGGGGTTTTCACAGCGATGCCAGAGTTCTCAACTCTGGTCCTTGAGATCCACTTTCCTGCAGAGTTTTGCTCCAACCCTAATCAAACACCAGAACAAGATAATAAAGGTCTTCAGGATCACTTGAAAGTTTAAGGCTGGAGAGTTTGATCAAGGTTGCTAAACTCCGCAGGAAAGTGGATCTCGAGAACCCCTGCCATAGAAGAACCATTTTGTGGTCTGTAAAACAACATCCAGTGAACAATTCTTAAAGGAACCATATTTTTCTAAGTGTGAAAAAGATTGTAATAATGCTAAGAGATCCACTTAGGACCCTTTTGTGCAATTGAAAGGTTCCATGGATGTTAAAGGTTCTTCACGGAACCATTGATGGCAATAAAAATTTCGTACTGTACTTTTAGTCTCAACGCACCAAAATCAGACAGACAAATCTCACTGTTCTCATTCATCAGGTTCTTTATATATAGAAGTGTTACAGTTCTTACGTTTCGCAGCATCCCACTCCCACAGGGTGCAGGCAGGTGCACTGCACACAGCCCTGCTCCATCCAGCTTTCTCCCATAGAGTACTGCTTTCCATCATATTCACACAGAGCTGTGAAGAGAGACGTCAAACACACTGAATATCAATCTCCTCAAGCCTTGAGAGTGCCTGATCCTCAAGTGCACTCCAAAAAACTGATTCGGAGGGAATATCATTAGACAGGACATTTGCTCTCACCTTGAGAGTTGAAGTGACACTGCATTGGTGCTGCTGAACATGTCGTCCACACCAAACAGGCCATGAAGAACATCAATGTGTCATGTCTCGCCATGGGATCCATCTCGGTTGTTCGATTGCCCTCTGAGTTGCTCTCTCCTCTTTTTTGCACCTTCATTTATACCCCCTTTCGTTCATGGGGACGGGTGTGGGGAGTGGTTTACCCCCTACCTGAGGTGTGTCTCTGGGGTGGGGGCAGGTTAGTTGGGCTGTTTGAGGGGGGGTGTAAAGGAAAAAGCTGTGGTTTGGCACCACTTGTTCTTTCTCTCCAGTGATTGCCATTCTCCGCTCCACTGGGCATGACCTTGAAAAACTATAGAAATTCTGACACATCCTGGGATGACTAAGAGAGGTGGGGAAGAGAGTGAGAGAGCAAAAAGTGGACGCGAGACAGGACACAGAACAATTATGGAGAACATGGATTGTCAGTTAAAGATAATCAGGTGTTCATCTGGGTTTTGGTGGTTGAACACTAATAATAAAGATGTTTTTAAGTATTTTATGCTCAGCAAGGCTGCATTTATTTGATAAAAATGCAGTTAAAACAGTAATATTGTGAAATATTATAATCTAAAATAACTGTTTTCTATGTTAATATATTTCAAAATGTAATTTATTCTTGTGATGGCAAAGCTGAATTTTCATTACTCCAGTCTTCAGCGTCACATGATCCTTCAGAAATCATTCTGATATGCTGATTTGGTGCTCAATTATAATTAGTTATTACTGGTGCTTAATTAATAATGTTTCTTATTATTATTACGATGTTGGAAAAGTTTTTTTCTGACTAATATTTGTCTAGAAACCGTGATATTTTTTTCAGTGTTCTTTGATCTTATTTACCCCAAGTGTTTGAATGGTAAAGTATCATAGTGTCCACAAAATGATTAAGCAGCAAAAACTGTTTTCAACATTGATATTAATAAGCAATGTTTCTTATTATTACCAAATCAACATATAATCAGAATGATTTCTGAAGGATCATGTGACACTGAAGACTGGAGTAATGATGCTGAAAATTCAGCTTAATAAATTACTTTTAAAATATATAAAAAATAGAAAACTTCACAATATTACTGTTTTTATTTTTTTATTTTTTACTGTAGGCTATTTTTGGTCAAATAAATGCAGCCTTGAGAATGAAAGACTTTTTCAAAAACACTACAAAAGTCTCAATTATTCCAAACTTTTGACTGGCAGTAGGCTATAAATAATAAGGTAACCGTCAATATTTTCTCACACGTTCTTGAACAAAGCTGTGGATGGTCAAATGGTGATTCTCAACAACACCAAGTAACTAGATGATCTTCAAACACAAACAGGCATTTATCGTAACTGTGGTCCTCAGGTTGCCGTGACCTTCGTCTGCTTCTTTGGACCGAGCTCATGCTGATGATGTCATGGCTGTGATGACCTCACATGGGCCTGGTCCAGCTGAAGATGTTCATAAGCAGGAGGAAGCTCATAAAGGCAGGATTGGACGTTTATTGCGCAACTGCTCCAGGTGTGTGTTTATGACCAGAGAAGATGTAATATATTCCTGAAATGCGTTTTTGTTGTTGAGGAAGGATTTCTAGGTAGGTGTCGAGCACGAGGGATTAGGCTTTGAGCGGATGCCGAGAAGGTAACGTTCTTTGAGCCAGAACCAAACATTACATACTAGTTCGCACATTAGCTCATCTCTCGTCATCTTTGCTATCAAGATGGAAAAACTTGCGATAGAAGAAACAGGCGTTTTCCAAGGAGGCCCTAGGGTACCACAAAGTCTGTTTGTAGCATTCACGCCTGTGTCACCCCACAGTAGTCTGAAAGGTGTTGAAAGCTCCTCCCGATGTACTGCATGTTGTACTACTGCTCTATGGCTCTGACTACACCTCAGTTTGGACAAAGTGACTCAGTCTCTCCTCTGGCTGTGCATTCTGACCTTGTTTACCTCTGGTTGAACGTTAGAACTGGTGTAGTATTTAAACATTTTCGCCTCTTAGGACATGTTTTGTGTCAAATAAGAGCTAAGAATTTGCCAGAAGGCCATTGGGCAGAAGTTCTTATTTTTGTGGTTGCCAATTAAAGGTGCTCTATGTAACTTTTCTACTAAAATGAATCCTTTTTTTATTGCCTGTGTGTGAAGGGGTTGTAATCACACATTAAAATGATCCACTTGTCGAGTTTTGCTATTACCTCTGAAGGCCAGTATTCCTATTTCTATGTGAAGTCTCCGGGTCGGAGAAATTTACCGCGAAATCCAACGGATGTGACGTGCATGCGCGCTCCCGAGCCTCTCTCCTTATATACAGTCTATTGTAGACGGTCAGGGAGTTACGTCCGGTTAAAGGCGCACGTTTTTCGGCTTATATCTCAGTCAATCTTTGATCAATATTCCCAAGACTCTAATCGTTTGTAGTGCTGGACGGGGCCTTTCGAACGAGCCCACCCTCGAGGTCCACCACACCCGGCTCCTCGAGTTATAGCCGTTCGAAATCGGGGGTCCCAGCGAACGGCGATCCGGTATGGGGGCATCCCCGAGGCCCGCCACTCTAGCGTTCGGGCAAGGGTTCCCCTGGGACCTCCTCCCTCGAATTTGAGCTCTCTGGGTCTTTGCGTTCCAGAGATACGAGCGATTTTCTTCTGAGATCGTGACGTCACCGGCGTCCGCAATTTTGCAGCGCGCCCGATGGTTTTCTGCTAATATCTCCGCGAAAACACCACCAAAAACTATGGAACTTATATGGTTCTTTTCAGCTCGACTAGATGGTCCCAACGAGCTCGGTGCTCGCCGAATCCGTCTAGTATTCGCCGAGATATTTGCGTAATAGACGGTATTGTCTATGAGTTCGAGCACGAGCGCTCTTGTAAAATTTGGTTGCAATCTGAAACATCACCACTAGAGGCCGCTAAAAGTTACATAGAGCACCTTTAATCTTTGGCAGCTAATTGTTGTTAAATGGAAGAAGTATCTAAAAGTGCTAGTATGAATTAGTCTTTTCAACAGGTACACTTCAAACAAGTCATAGTTTAACAAAGCAAAATTTTCTAAGTATCCCTTGTTACGAATCACTGATGTATAACATTTAAACCAAAGTAATAAGCTAAAAAATAATACAAATGTGTTCATTTTAGTTTAGTTTACAATGAATTAAATCTGACAACCCATTTTATTAAAGATACAAATAAATGCAAAGATGCATTGCACATAATACAGATTGATCAGACCTACAAATTCTCAATCCATCATATGAGCAATTATTGATTGGTCATAAGAAATTCCTGAAAACAAAACTTCAGTCCTGTTAGCCAGTGGAAACCTTCGTCATCCCAAGAGTGCATCTGTCCTTTGGCTTCAGCTCAAAGGAATGTGGCCTTAAACTTGGGAGCAAGGAAGCAGAGTCCCCACTGTGAGTGTTCGGAACACATGAGGGGTGGCAATGAGCCTTATCCTCTTTAACAGCTCTTGAGTCCCGAGCGGAGGATGTAATGGACTGCGGCCCTGTTCTGTTGTGCAGTCTGACTCATCACCATTTATTACATAACCACACACTAATGTGCAGGGGGACCCAAGGTTGCACTAAAATTTAGATGCAAGTGATCGGATGCCAAGCTGCCAACGAATGTAAATTAAAAGCAAGAACAGCTTGTTTTTTTATTTCAGTTTATTTAAATAGGGACAGTACAAAAAAACATGATCCCAGTCAAAGCTGGAAAATATGTATTGTACATAGAGAGTATAGCAAGAGCTAATTTGCATCTCAGGTCCCTAGAAAGGTTTTTCTAATAAAAAATAAATAAAACAACAAATTACTACTCATAGAATAAAACTACCACAATGTCACTTATAGACGTAGATGTCACTCAAATACCAACCAAAATTTATACCTGAAATGAGCTTACAACTGAAGCATAAAACTTCACATGCACTTTTACATTACATTACACTCTTACAGTGCATTTTAATAAGATAGAATAAAACTTTTACTTATACATATTACAGTTTTACATACTAAAATGGTTACATTTAAATATGCGAGCAGTTCTGGTTTATTTTAAGCCACCGCTTTACCTTTAATGTGAAGGACTTTATTTCAGGTATTGCCTTATACTCATTTGGCAGCAGGTTCCAGAGTTTGGAGCCTCAACAGAAAAGGCTCTTTGCCCTTGTGTGGTCTTACGAAAGTTAATCCTACAATTCCCACCTGCTGAACTCCTAGTGAATCTGCTTGTATCATCCTGTCTCTTTATCAATTTACATAAAACAGATGGTGCCTTATTGTGCAAACATTTAAAGATCAATTTTATATATGACAGGTTCTTAAAATTTCCAAAACTTAGCTTTTTTTTTTTTTTTTTTTACGTTGCAGTGATGCCATCGATTTGGCTTTTTATCCATTATTTTCAGAGCTTGATTATACACCATTTCAATTTTTTTAATTAAGGAATCACTTGTCTTAGTCCAAACTGTAATACAGTATGAAATATGGGACAAGATCATTGCATGCATAAACAGATGTCCTGCCTCAATTGAGATAAAATTTCGAATAAGTCTGAAACAATTTCGATTAATCCTTACCATTTTTGAGATCTTTTTTATGTTTATCAAATTTAAGTTGTGAGTCTAAGACAACACCTAAGAAATTAAACTCATCTACCTCCTGTATTTCTTTCTTATTTACTCAAATTATTACTTTTTCTTTTTTCTTTCGATCATTTTATTGGCTTGGTTCTTTTTCTGCCCTTGCAAATGATGGCAAGAAACACTTTATGTGAAAAGAGTTGAGATTTTTAGGAAGTACAACCTATTTTGGTGCCTATTTACACAAACGCACCAGTAAAATGTTCATTGCATTGGAGAACATAGGCTACTTGGAGAGCATTATGTTCATGCACCCAAAAGACAGATAGCAATTACAAATGACTTGTCCACCTGCTGTGCAGAATGGCTGACAAAAGCCACAACCAACTGGTTTGACAGCAGATCCGAGCTTGTTAAATAATCACACAATGAGTTGAGTGTTATAAATAATTTATTGTATTGGCAAACTCTTAATTGTAAGAAAATGTATTCATTATTTAATATCTTCCTACAAACTTTGCTCTGTTGTTCTGTCTTCTGCTTCAGATCCATGCAGGAACACGTGGGAAGAATGAGACATGCACAAAGTGGTATGCTTCACACCACCTTGAAAGTTTGTTGATCAGATACACTGTTCATATACTTCTTGTCATGCATATTAATGTATCATAGAACAAAGACTTTCAGAATTGCTTGTATAAACAATTTAACAGATTATCATAAGGCCTCCTACTTTCTTTTACCATAAATGTATGCTTCTGGTTCATCTTCATCCTCTTTGATCTTTATCAATATCCCAAAATATGATACCTTATGCATGTAAATAATTTTTAATTGTAAACATTTTATTTGACTCCCTATATAGACTTTCACAGGGCCTACTGAACTTGACTACAGAAATAAGCATTATTCA